AGATACAGCTCAACTGTTTAACAGTTACAGCAGGCTTGTGACTACCACACCAAACAGTACAGTCCTGAAGTATAAACACTATCTTACAATTTACAGACTTACTTGAGGCAAGTTACTGAACTTGTTTCCCTCATTTAAAAATAAAAATAGTGGGGCTGGAGAGGTGGCTCAGAGGTTAAGAGCACTGGCTGCTCTTCCAGAGGTCCTGAGTTCAATTCACAGCAACCACATGGTGGCTCACAAGCATCTACAAAGAGATTTGGTGCCCTCTTCTGGCCTGCAGGCATACATGCAGGCAGAACACTGTATACATAATAAATAAATATTTTAAAAAATAAATAAATAAAAATAGTAAAGCTGGGCATTGTGGCCACACACTTGTAGTCTCAGTAATTGTGGGTGGTAGCAGGAAGATTGGAAATTTGAGGTTATCCTCTTGCTGCAAAGGGAATTCTAGGGCAATGTAGGCAAAAAAAAAAAAAAAAAAAAAAAGTTGAGCATGGAGGCTCCTTATAACCCTAGTATGAACTCAGAAGTCTGAGGAATAGCCTTGAGTTCAAGTCCAGCCTATGATACAGAATAAGACTCTGTCGCAAAATTCCTCCTCTACTAGCCAGGTGATGGTGATGCATGTCTTTAATCCCAGGATTCAGGAGGCAGAGAAAGATGGATCTCTGAGTTAGAGGCCAGCCTGGTCTACAGGGCTAGTTCCAGGACAGCCAGGAACACACAGAGAAGCCCTGTCTCTAAAAACCAAAGAGAGAAACACTCAATAAGTGCTATTATCAATATCTATATTACTAACACTGAGCAGTGTCTTATATACAGGATTCAGTAAATATTTGCTGACAGATAAAAAATTAATTACCGCCCCATTAAATTCTTTAAAAATAGACAGACAACAAATAAATAGGGCTAGAGAGAGCCCTCAGAGGCTATCATCACTTGCTTCTCTTGCAGGGGCCTTGATGGCTCACAACTACCCAAATCTCTAGTTTCAGGGGATCAAATGCCCTCTTCTGGTCTCTGTGGACACCAGGCACCCATATGGTACACATACATACATGCTGGCAAAACACTCATCTACATAAAATAAAAGTAAATCGAGAAAGGCGCAAAGCTACACAGAGAAACCCTGTCTCGAAAAACCAAAAAAAAAAATTAAATAAATAAAATAAAAAAATAAAAAAAATAAGTAAATCTAAAAGAAAAAAACTTGACAAAGGTGGCAGAATGCTAGAAAAAGACACCTAATGCTGCAGGCATACAAACACATACATCAAACACAACAGATATAGACAGACAGACAGACAGACAAAGTTAATGGCAGTACTGACCAAAAGTCCAATTTACTTTCTGTGCTGTTCATAGAGCCAATTTAAGTAACAGGAAAATATAACTAATTCTTCTATTTCAGTAATAAAAATCCTGGTTCAGGTGAGCTGGGATTTTAGATTCATTTCATTACACAGAAATTTTTTTCATGATAGACCCAGACCAGTAGTTAATTAGCATTATCTGATATTGCTGGCTTGTCTGCCTGAGAAATCAACACTATTTCAGTGCACAGAAGCTGCTGCTACTCTACTGTTTTTGATAGTGAAGAAAAGAGATTCTTGTACTAGACGGCCCTTCCTATTTTGTATCTATTTATACACATAGATCTTCAAGAGCTACATACTAGTTTCCCTAGCTGAAAACACTAACATGAATCATAAACTATATAGTCTCTCAGTCAGAAGACTGGGTAAACATCAGCTTCGCCACTGACAATAAGACACTACCTGTTGCTGCCCATTTCTCAATTAAGACAATAAAATACCACTACCCACCTCACAGGACTATCAAGAGTATTAATTAGATAAAGACAGTGTGGTCTAGGTATACAGTCAAGTGAATGATTAACAGTTTAACAGCTGGGTCTGGTGTCTCAGTCCTCTAAAGTCAATTTCAAGACCAACAAGGGCCATAAAGTGAGTTCTAGGACAGCCTTGGCAATTGATTGAGTCCCTGTCTCAAAATTCGAAAGAGAAAGTAAAATGAGGGCCAGAAACAGCAGCACAGTGGTAGTGTTTGTGCCTGGCATATAAAAGCCCCTGGGTTCAATCCTTAGTACTGCAACAAACAATTAACAAAATTGCTCACCTACTGAGTTTGAAAGTGGGTTTAATAGCCAGGGGCAGTGGCTATTTAATCCTACCACTCGGGAGGCAGAGGCAGGTAGATCTCTGAGTTCCAGGCCAGCCTGATCTAAATAATGAGTTCCAGGCCAGCCAGGGCTACACAAGACCCTGTCTCAAAAAGAAAAGTTTGTTAATACTGAGATTTTACTTTCTGCTCATTATATAAAAGAGCCCATCTTAAATAAAAAAAGTATTGACCCTAAACAAAGACTTAGTGACTCACAACTTTTATGAGATTAATATATTCATAGAAATATTTTTAAGATTCCAGACACACACTGAATAAAATGGCATTTGGGATGTGCTTTAAAATATCAGTCTTGAGCCGGGAATATTGGCACACACTTTTGATCCCAGCATTCGGGAGGCAGAGGCAGGTGCACCTCTGTGAGTTCCAGGCCAACTTGTTTACAAAGTGAGTTCCAGGACAGCCAGGACTACACAGAGAAACCCTGTCTTGGAAAACAAAACACAACAAAAAATGAACTGGAGAGATAGATAAGGGGTGTCATAGATCCATGGTAGAGTGCTCAGTTGAGCAAGGAAGCCCATCATTATACTAAAAATTTGGCTTCTTCCTCCCAAAATAGTGGGTCTTCAATTTACATAACACTCTCTTCCTCTAGAACATAAAATCACATCCATCAATTTACTCATCTTCTACCAACTAACAATATTTTCTAAGTTCCAGCACTTAAGTAGGTACTCTGGAACATAACAACAACAAAAAAAGGCATGAAATGTAGTTGCCAACCATCAGAGTTTATATATGATCCCGACAAAAGAAGATGATGAGTGTACTGAAATATCCTTACTGGGAAACAGAAACTTAAAATCAATGGTAGACCAGTGACTACATTTTCAAACCTGAGTAATTTTCTTTATGGAAACTCATCTAAGAAAAAATAGATACTAAGTTAAAGACTCCAAAATTAGACAAGTCTGTTCTTTATAGATGGAGTGTGCCTCTACATACTTTTACGTGCAGACCATTCAGTGCTCCTGTAAGGGGAGGTTTACGGATCTCCATAATGTACACAGCATTAGGCACTCCAAACTGGGCTTTTTTTCCACTTTCCCTTCATAATATCTTATTTCTACAACAACCCAGTAATAATGTATTTATTTAGTGACCAATATTAGGATCTTAGCTTAAGGGAACAACATCTAGTAAGTATCCTCAAAACTCAAATAGAAAATTCCAAGAAGTTTGACAGAATTAAGAATTTTGGCTATAGCCGAGCAGTGGTGACAAAAGTCTTTAATCCCAGCACTCAGGTGGCAGAGGCAGGAGGATCTCTGTGAGTTTGAGGCCAGCCTGGTCTACAGAGCGAGTTCAGGACAGCCAAAGCTACACAGAGAAACCCTGTTTCGAAGAAAAAAAAATGGGGGGGGGGGGGCGCTATATCTACCTCTTAGTCTTCAAGCTATACATGAGAACTCTGGGGGCTCTGGAAACTCTCTGGCCCTTGATTTTGATTTTGTATGTCTTTTTCTCTTCTGCCTTACTTTTTTTTGGTAAATAGTCTTAATGTTGGCCTGGCTGGTCTGGAACTCTCTACTTATACCAGACTAGCCTCAAACTCAGAGAAAGATCTGCCAGCCTCTGCCTCACAAGTGCCTGGATTAAACAAACGGGTACACCATCAAGAAGGTATATAATACTAAATAAAGCAGCAAGACTAGCAAATGTCTTCAAACCAGTGGTCCCCTTGTGGCCTCGAACAACCCCGAAGACACTCTTCCAAACGAAATGATCGAACAGCAGCTTCTTCTTGCCAACCTTTGGGACTAATCCTATTTATCTAAACCTTTGAAAAAAAAAAGGATTTCTACCAATATGCACTCATGTCTGTAGCACCATATCTAGAAAAGTTATCAATGTCTTTTATTGAACCACACCAAGCAATATGAGAACTAGAGCTCATTAATAGGTACTGTTAAAATTATTTCAAACTAGGCGAAGTTGTCTAGTCAGAGGAAGATGCCTCCAGTAGGTGGCCGGCTAGCCTGGGCTACATAGCAGATCTCTCCCAAAAACAAACAACTATATTCAGACTTCAGAAAGGCCCCACAACACAATCACAAACACTGTATATTTATTATAGCTTCAAATGCTGCCTGCAACTTTCTCAAGCTTTAGGGTTCCAAGCGACATGAAGGAATAGTCTAAAAATGAGGTCCTTTATAAACTGATCACAGGAAGTGAAGGAAAAAAAAAAGCATAGTTTCAGCACCAGGTAAATAATAAGGATTTACCAATTACAAAGGAATGTGGTAAAAACCGTAAATTCGGCTCTTTACTACATACACACTAGAAGAGAACCCAGGTTACCTAACAAAGTATCTACTGCTAAATAAACAGCAGATCTATCTTTAACAGTTCGACTATGTCGACCATTTTTTACATTGAAATGCACTGCTACAAACTGTCGAGGTCGAAACTGATAGTAAAAATCCTAAACTAGTTTTCGGCGAGGAGCCACTCTGCCTAGAGCATCACACAAAAGACAGGGGCGCAAACAGAAACATGCTCCTAGGCCTTCGCCTACTGAGGCCGTGAGTCGAGGTCTCGATCCCAGAACACCGCGACAGGGAGCGAAGTAAGGGATCGGGGAAGGAAGGAAGGAGAGGTAGGGTCCACTTGCCCGAATGCACCGGGGAGTGAGGGACAGAAAAGAGAGCGAGGCGCGAGCACAGCCCTAATGGAAAACAGCTAGGGAAGCTGCAGCCCGGCATCCACGGCTTCCAGGCCGGCGACACCCTCCAGCCCACAGCAGGCTGGGCCCTCCTCCCAGGCCCGTCCCACCTTCTCACCTCCCTCACGTCCTGCAGGCACTCGAGCACCGCCAGGTTGTTGCTCCAGGTGTGTTTGGGGCACACACGGGTCACGTCTTCTCTGCAGGACTCTTCCTCCGCCAGCTTCCAGCCTCCGCCAGTCCCGCCGGGCCCCGCTCCGCCCCGCCGGGCCGAGGGCCCGCCCGCCGGGAAAGCAGGCGGCTGCGGCTGCTGCTGCTGCTGCTGCTGCTGCTGAGGCGGCTGCTGCTGCTGCTGCTGCTGCGATAACTGAGGCAGCTGAGGTGGCTGCTGCCCCGCCGGGCTGCCGCCTCCAGCTTGCCCTAGGAAAGATACAAGGTTGGCCCCCAGACCCTGTCCCTGACCGTGGCTGTTCTGGGCCCCGGCTGCCGCTAGCAGCAGCAGCTGCAACGCCGCCGACAAGCGAAACATCCTCCGTACACGTCCACACACCGCCATCTTGGGTTCGCGGCGAGCTCGACGCACCCGCCGGCGACGTGTATTTAAATGAGGGGCGGAGCCGCGGGCGTGGGCTGGCGTGGCTCCTCCCCAGCGAGCCGTAGCGCCCCGGGCACAGAGAGGGCTGCGGAGGGCCCACGCCCTGGACCTGGCTGGCGGGAAAGTGGTTTTCCTTCCCGGAGGAGCTGCTGGAGCTGCTTAGAAAAACCCGAGTAGGGGCACCATGGTCTAATTCTCTTGATGGTCGTCATGGAAAAGAAAAAAAAAAAAAAGAAATGAATTTAGGCTGCCCCAACCAAGATGGCCGGTGGATATTTCTCCGGTTCGGAGACTTGGGAGGAAGAGGGATTAAAAAAAAAAAAAAAAAAACTTTTGTGTCTTTGGAGATGAACTTCAAAACCAGATGTAATGCGAGACCTGAGAGCCTCACTTTGTGTCTGACCTTCCTTACCTGTATTTCTTAGAGATCCAGACGGGAGGTGAGTGAAGGTTAAGCGCACGTAAGTCATAATCCTTGCTCGTGGGCCTTCTAGGTGATTGCTCAGATGTAAAGTAAAACTGTGAACATTATGGATAAAAAACAAGGAGGGGCTGGTGATGTAGGTCAGCTGGTAGAGAGTGTTTTCCTAGCATGCACAAAGCCGTGGGTTTGATCCTCTGCCCTGCATAAACCGGTTGTGGTGGCATATACCTGTGATCTAACACTCAGGAGGCGTAGGTAGGAGTTTGAGGCCAGGCCAGTATGAGACTTTAAAAAAAAAAAAAAAAAAAAGTAAGGAAAATACCTGGCCTGTAACATGAAATTCCAAAAGCTATAGTCAATATTATTAAACTTCAAGGGCCATGCCTGGAAATCTTAGTTAAGAACCAGAATTTAGATGTCCACCCCCCCCCCCCTTTTTTTTTTCTGTTTTTGAAACAAGGTCTCACTTCACTGTTACAGGGCCCTGGCTGACTTGAAACTCACTATGTAGACCAGGCTGGTCTCCAACTCAGAGATCCACCGCCTCTGCCTCCTGTAAGCCACTAAGCCCAACTAGACTCATATTTAAAGGATGAAAGGAATTAGCAAAAACATGCCTTTGAGGACACAGGTTAAGCTTGTATCAGCAAATATTCTTGCTGACCTATATGCAACATCTTCAACATTGCCTCACTACACACTAGTGACCCCTCCTTCTTAGGCTGAGAGCTTCAAGCTTCGGGAAGCCTCTTCACATCCAGCTTGTCACCTAAGCCAGCATCGCAAAGGTTAGGTTCTAATTCAATTGAGAAATCTTTGTATTGAGGGGAGATATTAATGGTTCTGTACAGAGAGATTAAATGAACTGCCCAGAATGAACTCTGCTAGTCTGCAGATAGTTTTCTACTAGAACCCCTGATCCTGCCACCCTGGTACACTTTTATCCCCTTCCAGCAATTCAGAATGTTAGTGGTAAATGAAGACAACTTGAGACATGAACTCTCTACTGATCAGCATGTTTAAAAACACAGTTTCAAAAAGGATGGAAAGCTGGGAAGATAGCTAAGAGGTTAAGAGTAGAGGCTGCTCTCCCACAGAACTGGAATTAGATTCCCAGCACCTACATGGGAGCCAAAAACTATCTGTAACTGCGGTCCCGGGGGCTCCAGCGCCCTCTTCTGGTTTCTGTGGGAACTGCATGCACATGGTGCACAAACACTCATGCAGGCAAAACATCCATACACAAAAATAAGTAATAAAAAAAATATTTAAAGCAAAACAAACAAAAAGATATGTGGTGGAGCATGACTTTAATCCCAGCATTCAGGAGGCTGAAATAGATGGATCTCTGTGAATTTGATGTCAGCCAGATATAACACAGCAAGTGTCAGGCCAGCCAGGGCTTCATGGTGAGACCCTGTCTGAAAAAGAAAACAAAAAAAGCCAAACAAACATAAAACTACAGCTTCTGCTGTTCTGAAACCATAAATGGATAGTTAATGCTAGACTTGAATCAGAAGAGTTGGATAAGGGCTTAAGAGTTGGGAAAGGAAACCCCGAGAACACTCTGTAGGTTCAAACTGCCCACTGTGGCTGGCCCTGGTCTCTTCTCTCTAGGAATGGAAGTTATGTTGGCATTTCCACAGCCCTTGCCCTTATTATTAACCACAAAATTATCTGGAGGTTCCCCTAAACTTAATCATGGACTAAAGCAGCTCAGGATGGACTCGATAAATATATTTCAGCGTATTCATATGACATACTAAGTCTCAAATGTCTACATCACCAGAAGTCCTTGAGGTTACTAAGGGCCATTAATTTTCAATACTGGGTTTGAAAGTGCTCAGATAACAAGTGGGAGATTATTTTAAGTCAGTCTAAGGCTAGAGATTGACAGTCTGCTCAGAGAAGGCAGCGGTTGCCTATCTTTCATCTTGCACTGAGCAAGTCCTACACCAAGCCACAGATTGTGTCTAGTGATAGGGAGGAAGATAAATCTATCTTAAAGTCTCAGTGACCAAGAAACAAGACACTGAGAAATCTGGGAACCTGGCCAGCTCAGGCTGTGTCCCACAAATCTAGACCTTACAGAAGGCATAGACTCTAACCAGTAGAGAGATGGTTGATTTTTACTAAGGCCTTCTGGCCCCATTAACTTTTCAGTATAAAATACACTATGTCAGGCCAGGCATGGTAGCTCATGCCTTGTAATTCCAGCACTTGGGAGAGAGGAGCAAGACATGAAGAGAAACACTGCAAGTTCCACCTGTCAACACACACACACACACACACACACACACACACACACACACACACACACTCAGTACCTGGGCACATAGCTCAATAGTTTAGCATGTGCTTAGCATGTAAGGCCCTAGGTTCAGCCCCTAGACTTAATAAAATACACTATCTCTATCAGAAGTAGGAGTTGTTTTTACTCCTTATACTGTTTTAAGATCTCTAATTTAATTATTCAATAGATACTGTTGACCATTTTTGTCTTGGTTTTTGAAAAAAGGGCCTTGATACAGAGACCAGGCTGGCCTATATCTCACTGTGTAGCCCAAACTGGCCTTGGTCTCCAGATCCTCTTGCCTTGGCCTCTCAAGGGTTGGGATTACAAACTGAGCCACCACATCTGCTGATGAACATTTTCTAAATATGCCACGCATTGCTTAAGAGCTGTCATATGTAAGGGATAAACAATAGGACAGCTAGAAAAATGTTAAGACAGTGGGGTGTGGTGGTTGGTGCATACCTTTAAGCCTTGAATTCCAGCACTCAGGAGGCAGAAACAGGCAAGATTTCTGATAATAATAATAGATGTAAGATAATTTCAAATAGTATAAGTGCTATGAAGAACCATAAAAGCTATATAGTGTGACAAGGCAGAGGCTGGGGGAAAGACTGTTTGAGTGATAACTAAGACAACCCCCCTCCCCACCATGAAGATGGTAAAGAATTGGATCTAAAATGTTCCAAAGAAGTTAAGAACCAAATTCAATGCCAGGTGGTGGTGGTACACACCTTTAATCCCAGCATTTGGGAGACAGGCAGGCAAATCTCTATGAGTTGAAGGCCAGACTGGTCTACAGAGTAAGTTCCAGAACAAAAAAGGACTAAATTTAAGACCCTGAGGAGATGGGAATGGCATTTATAAGGAAGGACTAGGGTTAGGTATGAAGGCACAGGTCTGTAATCCCAGCTAAGGCAGGATGATTGCAAATTCAAGGCCATGCTAGGTCTTGGTGGTTGCAATGAGAAGAGGGAGAGATAGGGAAGTCCTCGGCAGGAGTCAGCTCTTATAGGCCCCTAGAAAGTTTAAGGAGGCAATGGACAGAGTTGGTACTAAAGGACAAGTCTTACTGAAAAAGGAGTACATTTTGAATGAATTCTCCACATTGTGACAGTTCATCAGAAGACAGTCCATATAGAAAATAGTATTTTTTCTTGTTTGGTTTTTTCAGACAGGGTTTCTCTGTGTAATAATAGTTCTGGCTGTCCTGGAACTTGCTCTGTACACCAGGCTGGCCTCTAACTCAGAGATCCACCTGCCTCTGCCTCCTGAGTGCTGGGATTATAGGCAATTAAGCAGACAAGTGATAAGAAAAACAGAAAGGGAAATGTAGTCAATGTAGCCACTTTGGGAAGAGGAATAAAAAGGTTCAGTGATCCCCCAAGTCCATCTTCCTTCAGTGGGGACATGAGGTTTACATAATCTCCAATGCACAGCTAAGCAATCCCAGTCAAGGGGTTAAGGTGTGGTCCTGGCCATCACCGACCCATTGTTCTCTTGACTTCACTGTCTCTTGCAAAGTGGTCTGATAAGTTGTCAGAACTGTGTGAATGTGCCCTCCCCACCAAGTACTCCCCAAGTTCCCCCTCTCTCCTCCTAGCTGGCACCAGGCTTTAGCCTTTCCGTCTCCCAGACTGAAATTCCTGGAGAAAGCCACAGCCCAGTGGGACGGACACCTTAGGAAGAAGGACCTTGCCCTAGATTAAAGAGCAAAACTACCATAGATCAGCCATTATAAGTCTTAAAATATTCCCTGGTGAGATCAAGGTTATCCATTACTACTTTGCATTCTGCATACATGAAGAAAATCTTTTCTAAAATAGAAATATTTTTGTGTGCACTATTCTTGTGTGTTTTGTTGTGGTGGTTGGTTGGTTGGTTTTTGTGGCAATTTTTGTTTTTGAGAACATCTCACTATATAGTCCTGGCTAGCCTGGAACTCAATACACAGATCAGGTTGCCCTCAAACTTACAGAAATGTTCCTGCCTCTGCCTTCCAAGTGCTAGGATTAAAGGCATGCACCACCACTGCCTGGTCACATGGGTTGTTCTTAGGGATGACTCAACTGATCACTGGGCCTCCACCTAGAGTTGGAATTATAAGCATGAGCCACCACCACACCTAGCTGTAGTTCCTCTTATCAGGGAAACAAAAGTTAGTTTCTGATGTTTCTCCTGACACTGAAAAAGAGGGGGAATTGAGGCAGGGGCATGATTGCCTAGTGATATTAAGTACATTCACATTATCTTAACAGTTAGGGTGTCCCCTTCATGAGAAGAAATGGGGCCATGGCCTCCAGGATAAATCAGGTCCCTGAACTTCACTGGGTTTAGATTCTGTACCTACTTCTCTCCTGTCCGTTGTCATCTCTTCTCATCTATTCCTGGGCACAACGAATCCTTGAGATTTATTGCTTGGCAGGGGTCATTTTTTGGAGACAGGGTCTCACGTAGCCCAGACTGGCCTCAAACTCAGTATGTAGTGAAGGAGGCCTTGAACTCCTTAATCCTCGTCGCTACCTCCCAAGTACTGGGATTACAGATGGGCATTTACCACACCTGGCTTTGAACAACCAATTTTTAGGCCACATTTAAGAGAAAAGACTTGAATCACACCATCATACCACCTGAGCAGCTATCTTCTGAAGGCATCAATCTAATACTGATCGCATTTAAGTCAGACAGTGGGGTCTATAAGCATCAGGAAGAGTTTGAGGGTGTAGCATAGTTTTATTTTTTTGAAGACAAGTTTTTAGTATATAATCTAGGCAGCCAGGATGCCCAAAGCTTCTAATTATAACTTTTTAATTGTAAGCTTATCTAATTGTTGGCAATTCACAGAGCTTTGCTTAGATAAAGCTCCAGGTCTTTTTAACCAATTTTTTTTTTTTTTTGAAACAGGGCCACCATCTTGAAATCCTGTTTCCCCCTCTATGTTCATCATTTCTGTTATCCAAATTCAGATGTCGTTTGTGGCCTACACTGACCCTCTAGGACAGTCTTTCTGCCTAGTGTCCACTGCTGGACAAACTGTGCTACAATGTGTATGACTGTTTTATTTTTCAGCACAAAGGTTATCTGCCAGCTGGGCGGGTGGCGGCGCATGCCTTTAATCCCAGCGCTCGGGAGGCAGGGGCAGGCAGATCTTTGTGAGTTCGAGGCCAGCCTGGTCTACAGAGGGAGATCCAGGAAAGGCTCAAAGCTACACAGAGAAACCCTGTCTCGAAAAACCAGAAAAAAAAAAAAAAAGAAAAAGGTTATCTGCCTACACTGTCAGAAACCTGGAAACCTGGAATCAAAGTGAGCTTTAACATTTTAAACAGTTTTTTTTTTTTTTTTTTTTTTGGTTTTTTGAGACAGGGTTTCTCTGTGTAGCTTTGCGCCTATTCCTGGATCTCGCTCTGTAGACCAGGCTGGCCTCGAACTCACAAAGATCCACCTGCCTCTGCCTCCCGAGTGCTGGGATTAAAGGCGTGCGCCACCACCGCCCGGCCAGTTTTAAAAAGATTTGTACTTGTGCTTTGCCTGAATGTTATGTGTGTGCATTGCATGCTTGCCTGGTGCACTTGGAGGTCAGAAGGCATTGGATTCCCTGGAACTATAGTTAAGACAGTTGTTCGGTCATAGGAACTGAACCCAGGTCCTCTCAAAAGCGGCAAGTGCTCCTAACTACTGGGCCTTCTCTCCAGCCCTCCCCAGGTTTTAAAGTTCTACTTGGCTATCAGTAGTGTAAGGAGGGTGGAAGAACCAGGACATGTAAAACTGAAACACCATGTGCATGCCATTTCCTGGGGGGGGGGGGGGGGAAGCAGGGGACACAGGGTATTTGTCTCTATGCTGGCCTTGAACCTGAGATCCTCCTGCACAGCCTCTAGAATGCTGGCATACCTGGTTTTAGTTTCATTAGGATTTTAAAGCCATTTCTTCCTTGTAATGAATAATTCAAATTCTTTACCAATTAGGATGTACTTTGTACTCCTTTAATCCTAGCACTTGGGAGAAAGGCCCGTCTGGTCGACAAGGATAGCTACATTGTAAGTTCCAGACCAGCCAGGGATAGAAACACAGTAACTTAAAAAAATATAAATAAATAAAAATGCTGTTAGGATTCTTAGCAATTTGGGATTTATTTCTACCCCAGAACTCCCTTTTTCCTTGAAACGGTTGGCTTTGTAATAACAGTATGGTTATACTTTTAGATTCTGTCCTCTTGGAATCCAGTATACTCTTATTTTTTGTTAACTGGAAGACATTTCCAGCTTTTCCAGTTAACTGCAGAGCCTGTTTGTACCAACAGAACCCTGATTTGAAACAGAAAGGACAATCTGAAGCAAGTGGCTAGAACTGTGGTGAGTAGGCGGAGCCCAAGGGCCTATACCTGCTCACCAATACCCCTGTCAAAGCATTGGCAAATGATTTTAAGAAATAAAATAAATAATTCCCATTTCTTCCACCTTATGGGCTCCTCAATTTTGAGCAATAACAGGAAGCCAGCAAGCAAGAAAGTTTGAAGAGTATATCCTCAGTATGTAACTCAGTCTGGCCTGAAACTCACGATCCTCCAGCCTCAGATTCCAGTGCTGGGGTTACAAGTATGTGTTCCCATACCTGGGTTATTTAAGAGGCAAATGTGGCTTCCAATTAGCAACAGCAAAAAAGAACTGGCAGCTGGAGCCTCACCAGTTTAGGTAAAATATTTACATTGGACACAATGGAGCACACCTGCAAGTACTTGGCAGGTTATGTAGAAGCAAGGCCGGCCTTTCCTATGTGGGGAGTTAAAGTCCAGCCTGTGCTACGTGAGACTGACTCAGTAGCAGTAAATCAGACAAGTAAAGAAACAGTAAATTAAATGTTTACTTCAGCTCTAGGGATCATCCTGTGTAATTCATATCCAGTACTGGATGAGATGGAGAATATACTAGAGTAAGATTATGCCCCCCTCCCCAACTCCCAAGAGGCAGGTTATACTCCTGCCTCTACTAGACACAGGCAGAAGACACTGGGGTTGGTGTTACACATGGCAAATTCTTTATTTTGCTAACATTACAACAAACACTGAAACACAGCAATATTCAGAAATCCCAATGTATTATGACAAGATTTAAAAACAAACATCCTGCTGGTGCTAAGAAGATTAGAGGCTGGGTCCAGAGATGAAGTTTCTTGCAAGTAATGGTGGGGGTAGGGTAAGGTTTTCTTTAGATATCAGTCCATCATGTGAATCTGCTTCCAAAACACAGATTTGGGTTTCTGATACAGCTCAGTGATAGAGCAAAAAACAAGCGAAACCCTGGCACCTTCCTACCCGAATCCAATTTTATTGTGGAAATGCAAAAAGTGGCACGGCTTGATATTGATTTGCTTTAGCTTCTGTGGTAGTAAATCTCCCCAGTCAGCCTTAAACATTCTTCAAGGCAAGTCAAATCTTAACCCTTCCCCAGACAAACCTGACACCCCCAGCTTTCTCTGTGGTCATATGCTGAAGTAATTGAGTTCTATTTAATTTAAATCCTATCCTGCCCCTGAAGCTCCAGGCTTAGGCAGCTACTTTTAAAAGGGAGGGAGGGAGGGGAGCTTTTCCCCAAGCTGTGGAAGCTGACATTTTTAAAGTTTTAAAATTAAAAAAACAAACAACACCCCCCCCCCCAAAAAACCCCAAGATTCTTTAAATGGTTTCATTAAATACATACAGCCACAACTTGGAACCCTGGGAAAAGTAACCTTAACAATTCCTTGCTGTTAATAAAGATCCCCCAAACAGCTCAGGACTTTGATAGGTAGGACAGAACTTTTATTAAAAAGGATAGTACCTCACCAACAAATATTTGAGACAGCCATGTTGTCTACACCTTGAGACAAGGTGTCCTAGGGGCAGTGGTTTAGTGGAGTAGCCTAAGGCAAAGTAGACAAGTGTAACCTGAGCATAATTCTAAATGCTGGACAGTTCAGGACCAGCAGAATGGAAGTTTCTAAGTGTCGTCCTTTCTGTCATCCATAGGTCTAACCACTCACTCCTATCTCCTGAGAATAACCACTTTACTAACAACACTTCCAGAAAAAATTGGGAGGCAAATCAAAGGAACTCAGAATCAAACATTTCACATGGGGAAGGAAGCCTTTACCTGGGCTGGAAATTGTATGTCCTTAAGCACTGGCTTGGTCGGGAATAAAAACCCCTGAGGATTCTAAGCTAAGTAGAAAAATCTAAATTTTTCACAATTGTTCAAACAACTGGTCCTTTCCTTTACCTGTCACAGTGATCACAATGAACTTAATGCAAACAAGCTTTAGCTATTGGCTCTACATATTGCTAGCTGATCAGCTACCTCATTGGACTTGTCAACATTCTAGTAGGCACGTGTACCTGGAATGTAACTGTTGTTGCCACAACACACACCACAGGTGAAGTACCAGACACGGGGCAGACAGCGCAGGGGTGTGGGTGAGATCAAGTCATTAAAAGGTTATGAGCACTCAAACTTGAAAAGAAGTCAAATTCTACCCAAGACAATTCAGGCTGGTCGGGTATCACAGCCCCAAAATGCTGTGCACACTCACATCCTAGATAACAGCTGGTTGAGAGGACTGTAAGATCCTCAGGGTTTAAATAAAGAATTTTCAGGCAAGATTCACAAAGGTACTTTTTTGGTGCAAATAGCATACACAATCTTAGTGTCTCCATGACCTAGAATCACACTAATCCAAATGAACCCATGATCCAAAAGTTCTAGTTACAACATACAAACAGGTATCTTCTTCAGGGCTACTAGGTGCTAAAAACCTACTTAATATTAACCAGCAGCATGTCTGCAAGGTCTCAAGACCATGCTCACTCCCATTTATAAAAATTGACAGCCTTCTCAGTTAAGGTAGCCAAATAGTTGTTCTGATTTGCTTCAAATGGGCAGATGTCCAAGACAGGTTGATCGGTCTTCAGGTCCTGCAGCAACGAGCCACTGCCACCATTCCACAACTTAAAAAACAGCAAGCAGAAACAGAGTCAGCAGCTAGTCAGCCCAGGTCCCCGGGGAACAAGTCTCTAGTGTTAACACTGTACAAAACTAGCACACCCTACGCTTGAAAAGCAAGTCAAGGACTCATTTCTTTCATCGACGTGCCAGAAGTCTTCTAAATATTATCTCTTCTAGAGACAGAAGAGTCAATGAGACAAGACCACTATCTCTATCCTCACAAAAGTTACATTTATTTTAATTATGTGTGTCTATATGGAGTACCTGTAAAAGAATGTGGATCTCCTGGAGTTGAAATTACAGCTGGCTGTGAGCCTCCCAATTTAGGTGTTGGGAACCCAACTTGGATCCTCCGAAGAGGACCCTAACATACTCCTAACTGCTGAACAATCTTTCCAGCCATGAAACATACATTCTGGCAAGTGTTTTCTTTCCTAGAACATTTATTACAAGAAACTTGTAAAGTATCTAAAACAGGGCCAGTGAGGTAGCTCAGTGAGAAAAACCACTTGCCATGCAAGTCTGTTGAGTTAGATGCCCAGAACCCAGGTAAAGGTGGGGGGAGAACCAAGTCTCTCTCTCCCCTCTCCCCCTCTCCCCCCTCCCCCTCCCTCCCCTCCCCCCTCTCTCTCGAGACAGGGTCTCACTGTGCAGCTCTGGCTATGTGGACCCAGCTGGCTTTGAACATCTGCCTCACCTCCCAAGGTCTTGGACTACAGGTATGTCCTGCCTTGTCTGGCTTTTACATGATCATTTCATGTAAAAAGACATCAGACATCAGGTCTTCATGTTTTCATGGCAAGTACTTTACATTTTACCAAATAAGCCAACTTCCTAGGAAACTTCGTAAGTAAATTTTGATGTTTTAACAATCCTGCTTTCTTCCCTTTACTTGTACTATTACTTCATATTGTTTAACACCTATGGTGTAATCATTACATACCAGTGATAGTTTGGGGTGTACACGTGTATATATTTATATGTGTGCCCCTGCTTGGCTTGTGTACTTAGAAACCACAGGTGTCTTTTGGTATTGCTCTCTGCCTTATTACCTTTAGACTGGTGTGGTGGTGGTTGGGACTGACTCCCTCATATATGCTAGGCAAGTACCTTACCACTAGGCTAGGCCTAGGCCCTCAAATCCCAAACTATTTTTAAATACATAATAAAAATAGGCTCACCAGGACAGACTTTGATGCTTCATCCCCAGTACATACTAGGAGATTGCCATCATTCTCTGGGCTTTGGAAGATGGCATTTTTAGTCAAAAGTTTGCAAGTGGGTCCCCCAAGGAACGTTTGCACAGGAAGACAGGAACAGACGGGCTCTCCAGCATCATCCAGTTTGTAAGACATCTCCAATAGCACAGTTCGTATGGTGTTATGGCTTTTATCTACGAGATAGAGAAGCTGGTGTTACCTCATGGAGATGATACAAAAGAAATTAAGTACCTGAACCTCAAATACTTACAACCTAGCTGGGGAAAAAAGCTAAATACATTAAACCCACAAGACCTATAAAGCAAATACAACACGGCACCAATGAAATTCAGAAGCCTGGACTAGGATAAAGGAAGTTGCTGGGAGATATGTGTACACTGAAAATTTGGTGTTCCTATTGGTTAATAAAGCTGCACTGGCCTATGGCAAGGCAGCTTAGAGGCAGGCAGAAAAATCCAAGGAGAGAGACAGGAAAGAGAAAGGCAGAGTCTAGCCACCACAAAGCAAGATGTGAAAATACTGGTAAGCCACGGCCACATGGCAACGTATAGATAAATAGAAATGGGTTAAGTTAGAAGAGCTAGCTAGAGAAAAGCCTGCCATAGGCCATTCAATTGACAGTTAATATTAAGCCTCTGAATAATTCTTATATAAGTGGCTGCAGGACTGCGGGTGAGAGAGATTTATCCCGAACGTGTGGCTGGGAGGGACTGGAAAAACCTTTTGACTACAGGAAGTTATCTGCAATAGGTTTTTCCTACTTGAGAAACAAACCTAGAAATGCACTGGGTTTGTATAATCATTGTATCTTCTGAGACCTCCTGGAGAATTTATTTTTCAAGTATTCTAAGTACTCCATTAGCTATAATAAGTAGAGTTACATCTCAGGTACTTCTGAGAGACAGACAAACGCTGGGGGAAAAAAAATGGGACACTGGGGGAAAAAAATGGGACACCCCCCCCTCCAGCTTTCTTTCTTATTATCTATTTTTATTTTATTTGCATTGGTGTTTTGCCTGCATGTATGTCCATATGAGGGTGACAAGTCCCCTAGAACTGGAGTTATAGACAGTTGTGAGCCGCCATGTGGTTGCTGGGAATTGAACTCAGGTCCTCCAGAAGAGCAGTCAGTGTTCTTAACTCCTGGACCACTCTAGCCCGACCCTCAAGCTTTCTATGTAAGTCCGAGCATGCTTTGCAAGAACCAAGAGGCCAGAAGTGGTAGCTTTTACAGTTTCAAAAAAATAAAAAAAAATGTGCAGTGATGAGATCTACCCACAAATGGGCACTTTGATGGTCAATGTGACAAACCTGACCTTGGAACCCAGTTTTAGGCCTGACTTAAAATCAGCATACACAGAGGCTTCTCCATTAGTCAGGGATGGTGAATTAACGAGTCAATAATTCCAGCACTTCAGAGACTGAGGCTGAAGGACTGATACAAGTTTGAGGTTGGTGGTACCATAGAGAGCCAGGAGTACACAGTAAGACTGTCTCAAAAAATCATAAAATGAAAAAATTAAAATATGTGAGTGGTTGGTTATTTGCTATATATTCCACTTGTTCTTCATCTAAGTCAAAATTCAACACATTCTAAAATTGTTGATCACAAATAAGACACAATGGTTGACATCAGCCATAGAAATAAGTTCCCCTATTCATGTTTTCTTTAAACTAGCCAATTCCCTTCTCCCCCAGAAAGTTTAAGGGACAATGTCCATAAGCCTTAATAAAATCTTACAAGTTCTTTTTCCCCCCTCTAGACCCACTGATGGAACTTATGTACCCCAGATGGCTCCTTCTTGTTCCCACGGGCCCTACAAAGCATGCTCTTTTCCCTGGAGCTTTAAGTAGTAAACTTCCTTTTGTTATCTTATGAGTTTTGATGTGCTGCCTCTGTGTCTCACCTATCTTCTTTAAAAAAAAAAAAAAAAAAAAAAATTAGCCGGGCAGTGGTAGTGCACGCCTTTAATCCCAGCACTCGGGAGGTAGAGCCAGGCAGATCTCTGTGAGTTTGAGGCCAGCCTGGTCTACAGAGTGAGCTCCAGGACAGGCACCACAACTACACAGAGAAACCCTGTCTCAAAAAACAAAACAAAAAAATTATTATTTATACATTGTTCTGCCTGCATGTATGCCTGTGCACACGAAGAGGGCACCAAATCTCGTTATGGATGATTGTGAGCCACCATGTGGTTGCTGGGAATTGAACTCAGGACCTCTGGAAGAGCAGCCAGTGCTCTTAACCTTTTAGCCATCTCTCCAACCCCTGAATCTATCTTCTGATCTGGTCAGGGCTCTCAGATAACAGCTGTCTAGGTAGGAATAAATTGGACTCAGACCAGGTAAGAGTCACAACAAAGGTATAAACAAATTTCCTGTGAGAGAGACACCTAGTTACAGGTCAGAATTTAAGATATTAGGTGCTTGTCAGAACAAAGACATGTTTTGTGAAAGGCATACCATAACCAACTATTACTAAATATCTAGAATCCCATTAGAGCAGGGCTAGAATTTACAGCCATTCTCTTGAGATCTCAAGATCAAATTAAAAAGGCAAACCCTCATTAAACTGACCACCAACATGGTTCATCAGGTATACAGATTTTTTTTTTTTAAAGGTGAGAACAAAACAAGCCTGTAAATTTAATAGCTGTTCAGAGTTCTATCCCTATATTCGGAGATGGTAAAGTTCATCTGCCTAGATAGTCCCACAAAACCATGACTGTCAGCCTTACTTAACTTTGCAGGCCTCAAATATGGAACAACTAAAAACCTGATCTGGTATTAGGCTGTTTCCACCTGGACCTTTTTCTTAGGTGACATGAGGGGCAGATGAAAGTGACCTGAAGGTGAATGCAATGGACTCCAGAAGCACATGGCAGAGTTTTCCAATACACGGTAGGGAAGTGGACTCTCTGGAGGAAATGGGAGCCATCATTTCTACTGTAGTACCAAAGGTTTCAACACAACCAGCCTGTCAGCCTTGGAGAGGCTTACCAAAGCCACTCAAAGGGAAATGTCTTCTTTCCTGTACAAATCTCCCCCAACCACCAAAATAGCAGCAGGTCCCTAAGAACTTCAGAACTCACCAGGTCTGTAAGTCACAAGACAGTGTCGAGTGCTGCTCTCTGTCTGAAAGTCTACAAAGCCCCCTGGCTCCAAGGATAGCACATGAGGCTTATGAGAAAAATCTGTTTTTAGCTCCCAGAAGGACGCATTCTCCAAGGTTCCAGCCAGTACCCCACCATAAGGAAATGCAGCCACAGCAGCTCTGGGTAAGTATGACAGAGATACCAGAGGACATCTGAAGGCAAAAAAGAAAACCATGACACACGTTCCAAATCCAATACTTTGGCTGCTCCAGACCTCATGACCAGGAAACCCGGGCCACATTCCAATCTCAATAGAAGTCAAACAGAAGGGTGAATATCTTCCTGTACTATCTAAAAACAATTAGCTATCTCTATAGGAGAAAGAAAAAGGAAATACACATAACATTCTGAATCTACTTTCAACAGGATACATTAGATACATACTCCAAAAGAAAGTCCTGTAACAAAAACAGCCTAAAGCAACCACATTTTAACTCAGAAAAAAGATGATTTTTTTTTCCCCCTAAATTTCTCACCATAAACTCATAATCATTCTTCTGCCTCAGCCTCCCCTGCCCACCCCCCAAGTTCTGGGATTGTAGATATAAGCAACCAGCATTGGTTAGACTTTCTTCTTCTTCTTCTTTTTTTTTTTTTTTTTTTTTTAAGAGACAGGGTTTCTTTGTATATCCTTGGCTGTCCTGGAACTTTCTCTGGAACTTGCTAGCCTCCAACTCAAGAGATCAGCCTGCTTCTGCTTCCTGAGTGTTGGGTGGGATTAAGGGTGCCCCCCCCCTTTGGTTAGATCTTCTAAATTTCCATCTGCAAGTTTATGAATGATATTATATGCTAAGAATCCTTTCACAAACACCACCCTGCAAGCTATGTTCCTATGAATTTAATTATGCAGAAGTTACCAAACCAAACACTTTATTTTGGTATTTCAAGACAGGGTTTCTCTGTGTAGTCCTGACTGTCCAGGCTGTCCTTGAACTCAGAGACCTGTCTGCCTCCCAAGTGCTGGGATACGCTAACACACCCTGCCTCAAATTCTATTGCTTCTGAAGTGATGAAAGTCCTAGATCTTAGACTGGTGGTCAATTGTTGTGACACTCCGAGGAATGAACTAATATAGTAGCAATCTAAAAGAATGCTCTTGTGATCTACATAAAAATGAGTTTTTCCTACCTGGCTTTCTGAGGAACTAACTCCTGTATATAGGCATTTGTGTTCCGTAGGTCATATATCAGAATTGAACCATTGGCCAGTCCAGCATAGACGTAATTGTTTTCATCAAGACACCAGCAACAGCTCCAAACAGGACGTCCAGTATTGTAAGTCTGCACCACAGTATTTGTTTCTAGGCTGGGGAGTTATAAGAGATTTTTACCACTATATATTAAGAAAATCATGTATACAATGCTGATAATGTTGAGTAATAAAACATTTAACAAAGTAATATTTAATATTTTTTATTTTTTATTTTTTGGTTTTTCGAGACAGGGTTTCTCTGTGTAGCTTTGTGCCTTTCCTGGAACCCACTTTGTAGACCAGGCTGGCCTCAAACTCACAGAGATCCGCCTGCCTCTGCCTCACGAACGCTGGGATTAAAGGCATGCACCACCACCGCCCGGCCTTTTTTTTTTTTTTTAAAAAAAAGATTTATTTATTATGTATACAGTGTTGTGGCATGTATGCAGGCCAGAACAGAGTACCAAATCTCATTATAGATGGTTGTGAGTCACCATGTCGGGGCTGGGAATTGAACTCAGGACCTCTGGAAGAGCAGCTAGTATTCTTAACCTCTGAGCCATCTCTCCAGTTTAACAAAGTAATATTTATTGAGAACATATCCGCACCCTAAACTATCTGGATTTCATATTTCCTCTGGGAATTGCATAGTTCTCTATTCCAAAACACTTGTGTTTTCTGGTCTGCAGACTTAATTCTTGAATTATAATGAAGTAAAAGGGTAAGCTGAAGAAATACACAAACGATACATTCCATTCTCTATTGAATTACTTTCTCTATAATTAACTGTCACACAAGATAACCTGTAAGCAATACAAGAAAGTAGAAAATATAAGGGAAACCAAAAATTATAATCCAACCACCCAGAAGTAGCCGTTAACAACACTGTGTAACAGCACCCCCACCCCAAACACACACTTTTTGTGGTGGTAGTCAATGAACCTAGGGACTAATGCCTGGTAAGCAAGCAGTCTGTCACTGAGCTACATCTCCAGTTTGTCCCTGCCCTTACTGTTGTTTTGAGATAGGGTCTCACTATGCAACCCTGGCTGCCCTAGAACTTGCTGAGTAGACAAGACTGGCCTTGGACTGTGATCTTGCTTTTGCTTCACAAGGACTTGGGCCAAAGATGTGTGCCACCCTGTCAGCCCTCCCTTTAATTATTTAATTTATATATATATTTAAATTGTTTTGCCCACATGCAAGTCTGTATACTATATGAGTACCCTTCCTGAGGAGGCCAGAAGGAGTTTTAGATCTCCTGGAACTGGAGTCAAGACAGTTATAAGCTGCCATGTGGGTGCTGGGAACTGAGCCTAGGTCATCTGGAAGGGTAATCAGTGCTCATCACTACCAAATCATCTTTCCAGCATACCTTCACCCATTTTTAAAAGATTTTATTTGGGGGCTGGAGAGTTGACTCAGCAGTTAAGAACACTGGCTGTTCTTTCAGAGGATCCAGGTTCAATTCCTAGCACCCACATGGCAGTTCACAACTGTCTGTAACTTCAGTTTCAGGGGTCTAACACCCTCACACAGACATACATGTAGGCAAAACACAAACGTACATGATAAAATAAATCTTTAAAAAATTTTAACCGCCGGGCGGTGGTGGCACACGCCTTTAATCCCAGCACTCGGGAGGCAGAGCCAGGCGGATCTCTGTGAGTTCGAGGCCAGCCTGGACTACCAAGTGAGTTCCAGGAAAGGCGCAAAGCTACACAGAGAAACCCTGTCTCGAAAAACCAAACCAAAAAAAAAAAAAAAAATTTTATTTGTGTATGTCTTTGCATAGATGCCACAGGAGGCCAGAAGAGGGTATTAAGCCCCTGAAACTGGTCTTCGAGCTGCTCAATGCTGACTACTAGGAAATAAACTAGCCATCTGTTTAGTACCCATTCCTATCCTCATCTAAAACACACACATGCATGCATACATGCAAGTGTGCACGCGCGCGCGCACACACACACACACACACACACACACACACTTATATAGCATATATGTGTGAGAATGTGGACACATGCATGCCACATTGTACGTATGGAGTTCAGAGGATAACTTTTTGGAGTGGATCTTTCCCCCAATCATGGGTTCAAGTCATTAAGTTTCTGTACTTAGTGCTTTTATATGAGCCGAGCCTTCTCTAGGGTTCCTCCTGCCCAATATCATGCTTATCAGGCATGTGTTCTACCACCGAGTTACTACACATCCCTATCCCCCAACTTTTTGTTGTTGTTTTTTGAGACAGGTTTTCACTATGTAGTCCTGGTTGTCCTGGAACTCATTCTGTAGACCAGGCTTGCCTTGAACTCAGAGATCTACCTGCTGCCCCCAACTGTCTTTCTTAAAGAGTCAAGAGGAATAGGAAGCTAGCTAGAAAAGAATGGATCACACTCAAGTCTGGCTTATACTACTAATGATCTAGGGGACAGAACTGGAATAAGCAGTCCTGAGCTGTCGTGGCAATTCTATGGTAGGAGGCATCAATGATCCCTCCACATCATCATCCCACCATCTATAGAACATTGCTCTCATCCACACAGTTTAATATGTATTTTAAAAATACATAATTTTAGGGGTTAGAGAGATGGTTCAGTAGTCCAGATCACTTATTGTTGTTGTAGAGGATCTGGATTTAGTTCTTAGCATTTACATGGTGACTAGCAACCAGCTAGAACTCCAGTTCAGTTCCAGAGGACCTGATGGCCTCTGCAGACACTCTATACAGGTGGTGCACAGTCATCCATCAGGGCAAAACACCCATACACATAAATAAAAGTGAGTAAAGTATTTTTTCTTTTTAATGGAATTTTAAAGAATTAGGACAACCCAGCCTTTGGTGAAGACCTGAAACATGAGCTATTCAAAAGGTTGAAGAAGGACAATTCCAAGGTCAAGGCTAGCCTAGGTCAATTACCAAACCTCATAGTAAGAAATAAAAATGGATGGATAGTGCCATGATAAAATGCTTGTCTGGCATATTCCAGACCCAGGTTCAATTTGAAGCACTACAAAAAACAACAGATTCAGGTCACTCACTACACATTAATTTAGTGACCTACTATGTCACTTTTATTTTCTGTCTCATTCATCTTAGGCTGTCCATTCAGGTGATGGGATTAGAAGTATCTACTATCACACTCAGCTTTATGTTCACTTTTCTGTTGTTCTTCTAACTCTGTAGTTCAAGTTGTCCTTGAATTCTCTATGTAGTCCAGACTGGCCTCAAACACATGGTAACAATTATGCCTCTCAGGATCCCAAGTGCTAGGATTACAGGTTTCAATCACCACACAGGGTTTATATACTTTTATTTATTTTGAGACAGTCTCTCTATATAGCCCTGGCTGTCCTGGAAGTCACTATGCCTAAAACTCAAGAGATCTGTCTGACTCTGTCTCTTGGGTGCTGCGATAAAAGGCATGTGCCTGTTGCATATATACTTTTAAAAGGAGACAATGCCTCAGATCAATAAGAGAACTAAGAATAATTTGATGCACAGTGGCCCAGGCCCAGTCTTACCCTTGATTCACTTACCTGGTCAATTTAATAGTATTGTCAAAGGAAGCAGAGAGCAGAAGGCCTTTGGATCGACTGCTGAAAGCTAATCCACGTATCTGCTTGCCATGCATAGGAATATACTGACTGCTTTTCATGTTGGCAGTACTCAACATCTTAACACCAAAGCCTACCAAAGAAGAGAGTTCAAAAAAGACACATAGAAGTAAATTATGGCAAAATCGAACTATTTTTTAAAGTAATTAGCACCTTTGCTTATCTTTCTTGGAATCCAAGTCCTTAGAAAACAGCTAGTCAGCTGGGCAGTGGTGGCGCACGCCTTTAATCCCAGCACTCGGGAGGCAGAGGCAGGCGGATCTCTGAGTTCGAGGCCAGCCTGGTCTACAGAGGGAGATCCAGGACAGGCACCAAAACTACACAGAGAAACCCTGTCTCGGGGGAAAAAAAAGAAAAGAAAACAGCTAGTCAAATAATAAAAATGAGTATTCCCCAGGTTTATACATGCCGCCCCCCCGCACCTCTGCTTTGAGACAGAGTTTCTCTGTATTGCCCTGGCTGTCCTGGAACTTGCTCTGTAGACCAGGATGGTCTTGAACTCAGAGATCTGCCTGTCTTTGCCTTGAATGCTGGGATCAAGGGCCACCATGTCCAGCACCCCAGGGTTATACCTTTTAAAAAAGCAAAATCCATTTCGGTGCTCTATCTGCATGCCAGAAGAGGGCCTCAGATCCCATTACAGATGGCTGTGAGCCTCCATGTGGCTGCCGGGAATTGAACTCAGGACCTCTGTTGGAAGAGCTGCCAGTGCCCTTCCCCGCTGAGCCACCTCCCCAGCTCAGCAAAATCCATTTCAAATATCCATCAATAGATAGATGAATAAACAAATCTACAATGTACACATACAATGAAATACTACCCAGCAATAAACTATTAATTTACATAAAAATATGGGTCTTAAAAAACAAACAAACAAAAAAGGCATATGGCTGTATGATGCCATTCATATATAGTTCAAGAACATGCAACACAGTAACAAAAGGCAGATCAGTGGCTGCCTATGAGTGAGAAGAGATTAAGGATAGGTAAAAGATTACAAAACTCGTCAATGCTACTTTATATACATACAATTTTATTTTACAAGTTATATTTCAGTAAAGCTGTTGGGACAGTTGGGCATGGTAGGATATCACTACAGTCCTAGCATTTGGGAGGGAGATAAAAAGCAATATTGGGAAGCTGGAGAGAGAACTCAGCAACTGGGTTCAATTCCCAGCACCCACATGGCAGCTCACACCTGTCTGTAACTCCAGTTGCAGGGCTTCTGAAAACCTCATACAGACAGACATACATGCAGGCAAAACACCAATGAACGTTAAGATAAAAATAAAATTATTTTTATATATATATATTTTTAAAGCAGCCTGGCAGTGATGGTGCACCCACTTTTAATCCCAGCACTTGGGAGGCAGAGGCAGGCAGATCTCTGTGAGTTCAAGGCCAGCCTGGTCTACAGAGCTCCGGGACACCAGGGCTACACAGAGAAATCCTTGTCTCTAGAAAAACAACAACAACAACAAAAGACATTTGAGGCCTGCCTGGTCTACATAGCAAGACTCAGTCTCAAATGGCCAAAACAAATTAAGTTGTGTAGACAAATATTAAGCATAATTTGTACAAGAGAGATAATTCAAGATTTAAGAGGGATATGAGCAATAAAGAACAGAGACAAGGGGTTGGAGAAACTAAGATGGCAATTTTTTTTTAAAGATTTATTTTATTTTATGAGTATGGGTGCCTTACCTATATGTGTGCATGTGCACCACATGTGTGTCTGGTACCCACAGAGGTCAGAAGAGGGCATTGGATCCCCTGGAACTGGAGTTAGGGATGGCTGTGAGCCATCATGTGGGTGCTAGGATCTGAACCAAGCAGCCAGTGCTCTTAGCCACTGAGCCAACTCTCCAGCCCTGGCAAGCTTTATTTTTAATATTTATATTTTGCTTTGCCTGCATATATGATGTATACCATGTGCATGCCTGGTGCCCTTGGAGGCCAGAAAAAGGGTGCCAGATCTCCTGGAACTAGAGTTACAGTTTATGATGGTTGTGAGTTGCCATATGTGTGGCTGGGAATTGAACCAGGGTCCTCTGGAGAACAGTTAATGAACTTTACTGCTCTTAACCTTCCCTCCAGTTCCAGCTTTATTATTTATGTGTGTTTGTCTCCGTGTGGGTATATGCACATGAATGTGGGTGCCCATGGAAGTCAGAAGAGGCCAATAGATTCCTTGGAGCTGGAATTGGAATTATAGGTGATCGTTATGGGACATCTAACATGAGTGCTAGGCTTTGAACTATGGAACTCTGAAAGAGTACCTACCACTTTCCTGTCTGAAAGAGCAGCAAGTGCTCTTAACCACTGGGTTATCTCTTCAGCCCCCCATTAATATATATTAATAAAATGACTATTATATTCCTGATATTCCAAAATATTAAATTTTGTTTAAATTTGAATTAGTCTCTGGAATAGTTTAGTAAAACTCTCAAATGAATCTGTACAGTAAACGACATACACAGGGAATATTCTCCTTGGACAACATCAATGACCTACACTTCCATCCATGTACCTCCTTTCTCACATTCACATGATTACTAGTTATTTCTACATTCTTGATGCATGAATTTGCAAAATAAAAGCAACAGACATGAACGAATTTTTTTAAAGGAAGGCAATAGCCTGTGCAGTGATAAAATTACTATTTGTAGCTGAAAGAGACATTTTCTGTTTGTTTGAAACAGGGTCTCACTATGTAGACCACAGTGTCCTCAAACTTCTGCCTCAACCTCCTGAATTAGGTGTGTGTGTGTGCCAGCAGACCTAGCTATGAAAGATAGGGTTTTGTTTGTTCTGAGACAGGGTCTCTTCATGTAGTCCTGGCTTTCCTGGAACTTGCTGTGTAGAAGAGGCTAGCCTGGCCTGGAACTCATAAAGATCTGTCTGCACTTGCCTGTGAGGTACTGGGATTAAAGGCATGTGCCATTATGAAAGGCATCTTTGTAGCAACCGAAGTACTTGCATTCAATTAACAGAGAACTGACAGAAAAAAGTGAGGAGAGGAGAGAGCCTGTTTTCAGTGTTTAATCACTGAGCCCAAGATTCTTCAAAAACAGAAGAGAAGCAAGTAGTATCTAACAATGAACACAAAAGAGAGGTTCTGAATTGTTTACCTGGAATGAAGGAGGACTGAGGAGAAGGCTGTGATACCACTAGGCAGCTCAAACCATCAGAGTATGCCATGATTCGGCAGTTTCCTGTCTGGGACACTGTGAAAGTCTTCTCAAAGTGGTATTTATGCTGGTTCTGGCTGGAGGGTAAGCAGTTCCCGCAACGTGCTTGGGAGCCCTGGTGCTGCTGCCTAACTTGATTCTGATGCCGCATAATAAGGGTTTCTAAGGACTATAAAGAAACAGATTAAATGAAAGCTTTATTTCCCCCTCAAGAATGGTTTAATGTTTTACTTATATGCATTGATGTTTTGCCTGCATGTATGTCTGTATGAGGGTGTCAGGTATCCTGGAACTGGAGTTATAGACAGTTGTGAGCTGCCATGTGGGTGCTAAGATTTAACCTAGGTTCTCTCTAGCCAGTACTCTTAACTGCTCAGTCATCTCTCCAGCCCCCAATTATGATTTCTTGATTGGATAAAACATTTCTTGCCAATCATGAAAATGTTACCATGAACGTTAAAGAACTGCATTTCAGAGTATTTCTCCAAGTAACTGAAATAAAGAATGCAGAAAACTATCAAATATTGACAGTCCTTAGTGGCTGCACTGTGTCTGAAGCCCTCACAGAATTCATAGAAATATGGGTTTTGGGCAAATTGAGATCAACTTATGTAATTTGATTCCTCTTAAATTGCTCTTCTCTTTAATTCTGGTTCTAAAAACTTTTTGAACTAGAAAGGACAAACTCACCTGGACACGGCTATTGAGTTTAGTGCATTTATCAATGAGGACCTGAAGTTGGAGCCGGCACTGAGCAGATTCTAACTCAGCCTGCTTCCTGAGCATTTGTTCATTCAGTAAGTCACTAGAAGGGAAAAGCCAGAGGCAGATGAGTATTAGGAAAGCTACAGAAGACATCCCAGTGTAAGAAGGAGCGGAATGAAGCCATTCTGGATAGAGCTTCCATTCTGAATAAGGGTCAAATAAGGTTTAATTTCCCAAGACCTTCCCACACCCCTTGGGTAACTCAAAAGTTGAGACAAGAATGGCAGGAAAGCCACCTGACCACATTTGATTAAACCAACCAATGCAAAGAAGATACGTGTACCACAGAGATATGTTCCTAGGAAAGTCCCTATGCCCGAATCCTGATTGGTGAAAAATGTAATCGTAGATGGATCAGGGCTGCAGAACAGGCTCGGAGCTGAACTGTGACCCAAAGCCAGAATGTTACAAAGCCTTTAAACGTGAAAACTGGCACACACACATGGCCTCACCCTCTCCTTAGTTGTGGGCATTACAGGAATGTGCCACCATATTTGGTCTAATCTGATTTTTTTTTTTTTGTCTTAATGCCATCAGTGGAAGTAATAGTTCGGGGATTCTTTTTTAATTTCTCATGAAATGAATAAGGGCAGCATTGTCATTCTAGTTTTTAATCTTTCTCTTTGCTATTTCAGTGACGTAGAGTTTTGTTCTAGCGTTTTTGTTTCATATTTTGAAATTATGTTTAAGTACATGCAAATTTATGATTATATATTGTTATTTTTTATGTCAGGACATGCATTTTTGCCTTCATTCTAATTGGTCTTTTGTTAGAATTTGCTTTAGTGTAAACTTCCTTTTTAAGTTTTGGCTGTTGTACTTCCGTTAGTTTGATTGTTATTTAATTTACATACTTTGTAACAACTAACAGCGGTTTATTTTCTTTTACACCAATAGATATTCTTTTTTTTTTTTTTTTGGTTTTTTCGAGACAGGGTTTCTCTGTGTAGCTTTGCGCTTTTCCTGGAACTCGCTTTGGAGACGAGGCTGGCCTTGAACTCACAGAGATCCGCCTGGCTCTGCCCCCCGAGTGCTGGGATTAAAGGCGTGCGCCACCACCGCCCGGCCTAGATAATCTTTTCACATTTAAGTTTAATCTTTTATAATCTGCTTTAGCTCAAGTAATGAGTTGGTCTTTCTCTGATTTTCCTATGCTATTTTCAGTCTCCATTCAATAGTAGAAGTCAAATCTCTCGGCTTGTTTTGGTCTACAGACTGCAAGGCCAGCCAGGACAACTAAGAGACCATCTCAAACAACAAATGCCTCCACAGTACTTAAAAAGCAGCTTTTTTTTTTTTTTGGTTTTTCGAGACAGGGTTTCTCTGTGTAGCTTTGTGCCTTTCCTGGAACTGACTTGGTAGCCCAGGCTGGCCTCGAACTCACAGAGATCCGCCTGGCTCTGCCTCCCGAGTGCTGGGATTAAAGGCGTGCGCCACCACCGCCCGGCCTAAAAAGCAGCTTTTTACAGTTTGCCCAGGTTGGTCTCAAACAGAACTCATGGGCTACAGTGATTTATCTACCTCCCTTCATCTTCAGAGGTGGCTGGGACTTCAGAAAAGCACAATGCATATTTGCTTAGAACTGACTTTTTTAGAAATGCCCCAAAACAAATGCAGCAAAATGTTAAGATTTGATAGAAGTTGAGTACAAAGGTGACTTAATTTGTTTCAGTTATCTATTTATTAGCCTTTTCATATTTTTTCTTTTTTTGGTTTTTCCTCAGATCCCCTGGAAACGGGGTTACAGGCAGTTGTGAGCTGCCATGTGGGCGCTGGGAAATGACCCACGTAATCTGGAAGAGCAACCAGTGTTCTTAACCACTGAGCCATCTCTCCAGCCCCCAATGCCTGCTTTGTTTTTTCTTTTTCTTTCTATTTTAGGAGGTTTTGAGACAGGGTTTCTCTGTGTAGCCCAGGCTGGCCTCAAAAATCACAGAGATCCACCTGCCTCTGCCTCCTGAGTGCTGGGTCTAAAGTCGTGCGCCACCATGGCCAGCTGCATTTTGAAATTTTTTTATTCTTCCTAAAGAGGCTAAAGTAAAGTTTTTAAAACCTCATGATCCATTGATAGCCATGTGGATGCTTTTGTCTTCATTTTCTGGTGGTACTATGTTTCAAATTCAAGGATTTGTACATTCTAGGCTATTCTAGGATAGCACTGAACTATATCCCCAGCGTGATTTTTGCTTTTTAAACACAAGTATGTATTTTAATGAATGATTTTTATGGTTTGGGGAAACGGGGTTTCACTAAATAGTGACTTGAACTTGAAATCTTCTAGCCTGTCTCCCCAGTGCAAGGATGATAGGACTTTGCTCCACCAAGAGAACAAAAACAAAAACAAAACTGAAGCAACTGAGTAAAAACAAGGAAGGAAATACTAACAAAATGTAGTCACAATGATGTTTTTATGTGATGTGTGTGTACTTAAAACATTTTTTGCAATGTCTAATATCACACCACATAGATGTCAGTTTATTCAACTAATTAATCTACTTGACCTAGATTATTAACAACATAAATCATTTTCATTAAGTGAACCTTTGCATATATCCTTTTTTAAAAAAGTAACTGCCTGGAGTAAGATGACTGTATTTGTGTTAAACATCGCTGTGATAAAAACTCAACAAGAAACAATTTGAGGAAAGATTTGTCTGGGCTCATACTATGAGGTGACATCATGGCAACTGGTGGCTCCACGAAAGCTCGCTTACATGTCTGCTGACTAGGAAGTCAAGAGGTCAGGCTAGAACTTACGTAGGTTAACTCCTAAGGCCCTCCCTGCTCAGTGAACCATTTCCTTCAGTCAATCTTGGCCTCTTAAAGGTTTCACAACCTCCCAAATGAATCATGTCTGCACTGCCATTTGCTCAATGGCGGATATTTTAAATTTTAAGTCATCCTCTTCTTTCAAGAGAAGGGCCTATGTAGCACAGGCAGTTTGGAAGTTGCTAGGCATTCTTCTTTTCTATTTGTTTTTGCCATAGATCCCAGGGCTTTGTGCATGCTAGCCAAGTGCTCTACCACTGAGCTATGTCCCTAGTCTTGGCCTCAAACTTGTGATTCTCCTGCTTCTATTTCCCATGAATATGTCAGCATTTGAAAAAAAAATTCTTACAATGTGAGAACGGGGTGCTTGTGTGCCCCACTATGTATGTATAGAAATCACAGAATAACTTTACAAGTGGGTTTTCTCCTTCTACTGAAGATTCCAGTGATCAAATTCAGGTCATTAGGCTTGCATAACAAATGCTTTGATCCACTGAGCTATCTCACTAGCTAATGCACCACCATTTTTAATGTTCTTAAATCATATTTTTTTAGATTTATTTATTTATTATGTATACAGTGTTCTGTCTTCATGTATACCTGCAGGCCAGAAGACGGCACCATTTCTCATTACAGATGGTTGTGAGCCACCATGTGGTTGCTGGGAATTGAACTCAGGACCTCTGGAAGAGCAGCCAGTGCTCCTAACTGCTGAGCCATCTCTCCAGCCCCTTAAATCATATTTTAAGTGGTGTTATTAGCAACTATTTAGCACTTACAAAAGCATTTTTTTTTTTTTACAATACTGTATGTGCAAACTTCATTTAACATCTTACGCAAAGAATGCTCTTTTAAAGGGAAGAGTGACACAAATCAAAAACCACTCGGCAACGTGCCGGGCAGACACGGTGGTGTGCACTGAAATCCCAGCACTTGGCCGACTAAGGTGGAAGGGTCACTGGAAGTTCCAGGCCAACCTGGGTTAAGAGTTAATTTTTAAGACGGTCTCCAAATACAAACAAAACATTAAATATGTTGAATCTTTTTTTCTTTGAGCTTTGGTGTCATGTATCCTAGGCTGACCTTGAACTCTTGATCCTTAAGTCTCCTCCTCCCTACTGCTAGAATTACAAACATACAACCTCACCAAGTTTATGTTGTTACGGGGCTTGAATCTGGGGCTTTTGGCATACTAGGCAAGTGCTTCACCAACTAAGATACATGTCAGCTTGGTTTTTGAGATGGGATTTTTTTTTCTTTCAAGATTTATTTATCTTCCTTCAATGTATATGAATGTTTTGCCTATATGAATCTCCATGTACCATGCGCATGTCTGGTGCCCAAAGTTAGAAGACAGCATTGGATTCCTTGAACCAGAGAGTCAGATGGTTGTAAGCCACCATGAGGGTGCTGGGAAATTCAACTCAGGTCTTCTCCAAAAGCAGTTAAGTGCTCTTAACCACTGAGCCATCCAACTCTATAACCCAACATGGGGATTTCTTATACAATTTTCTTTTTAAATTTATGACGGTGGTGGGGCATGCCTTTATCCCAGCACTTGGGAGGCAAAAGCAGGCAGATCTCTTATGAGTTTGAGAGGAGCCTGGTCTACAAAGGGAGTTCCAGGACAGCAGAGCTGTTACACAGAGAAACCTTGTCTTGAAAAAAAACCAAAATAAATAAACAAATTAATTAATTAATTCTTTCGGATGTGTGTGGGCACGCCTCAGTTTATCTGTATATATCACATGCATACAGTGCCCCATGCAGTCCCGATGATGTTGTCAGATCCTCTGGAACTGGAGTTAAAGATGGTTGTGAGTTGTCCAATGTAGGTGCATGGAATGGAATCCGGGTCCTCTGCAAGAGCAGCTAGTGCTCTCAACCACTAACTGAGATGAGGACAAGCCCATGTAGTACAGGCTGGCCCTGAACTGCTCGACTCTTGCCTAAGCATCTGAAACTACCATAAGGTGCCATAGGGTGCAGCTTTAAATTTAAAAAAAAAAAGATAAGCCGGGCGGTGGTGGCGCGTGCCTTTAATCCCAGCACTCAGGAGGCAGAGCCAGGCGGATCTCTGTGAGTTCGAGGCCAGCCTGGTCTCCAAAGCGAGTTCCAGGAAAGGCGCAAAGCTACACAGAGAAACGCTGTCTCAAAAAAAAAAAAAAAAAAAAAAAAAAAAAAAAAAAAAAAAAAGATAAAGGACTGAGTCTTAGCTGGGCATGGTGGTATATGCCTTTAATCCTAGCACTTGGGGCAGAAGCAGGCAGATCTCTGAGGTTTAAGGCCAGCCTGATCTACATAAGTGAGTTCCAGGACAGCCAGAGGTACATAGTAAGAGTCTGTTTCAAAAAAAAAAAAAAAAAAATCCTAAACCAAACCAAAGCAAAAAACCCAAACAAACAAATAAAAAGATGAGTCTTACTATGGCCTGGAGCTCAGTATTTGCTCAGGCTGGCTTTTAATTTCCCACAATTCTGCATTAGCCTCCAAACTACTAAAATTACAGGTATGGACAACCATGCCAAACCAGATCTTGATTCAAATTTTTTTTTTTTATCCCCCAGTGCTCAGATGAAATCCAGGGCCTTGCAATGTTAAGCAAGTGCTCTACCACAAAGCTTTACTTCCCACCCTCAACCTCACATTTTTTTATTTTTATTTTTTGGAGACATGGTCTATGTAGCCATGACTATCCTAGAACTCTATACAGACCAGGCTGGTCTCAAACTCACAAAGATCTGCCTGCTTCTGCCTCCTGAGTACTGGGATTAAAGGTATGTGCCACCACCTCTGGCTCCCAGCCTCACATTTTTAATGCTGTATAGACAACAAATCATGCAGAATGTCATTATGTAATAACAGTGTCTAAGATCATAACTTCAATGATCCTCAGAAATCCCAAGTCAGAAGTAAGTAAAACCCCAGGGTCATAACAAAAGTAGATGGATAATTTCCTTATCAGATATGTTTAAGAAGAAGCAAAGAGTGCCTCTGGATAAAGAAAAGGACCTCACACCGAATATGCACATACATCCTCCTAGTACTAAGAGGAGCCAAAGGCTTGTACAGGTAGCAGAGGGTTCAACGGGCACCATAGAGAACTGGAGAAGTCTAGCCAGGCAGCAGTGGTGGTGTATACCTTTAATTCTATCACTCAGGAGAGGGAGAGGCAGCCGGATCTCTGTGAATTTGAAGCCAGCCTGCTCTACAGAGTGAGTTCCAGGATAATCAGGGTTATACAGAGATACTATCTTGAAAACAAACACACACACACAAAACCCCCAAGAAACAAACAAACAAAAAGAAGTCAAGAAAGTCTAGTGAGGCAGATTTTAAAACTTTTCCCCCCTTTTACCACATTTACTGTGTGTTATGTGAGGTCAGAGGACAACCTGCAGGAGTCAGTTCAGGAGTCAGTTCTTTCTTTCCATCATATAAGACCTGGTTATTCAATTTTCTGAGTAAGGTTTGGAAGCAAGTGCCTTTACCCACTAAACTACCTCACCAGCCCTTACCTACCTTTTTATGCGCTCCTGTTCATTTGTGTCCAAAGCTCTGAGGGATCGGGCATAAAGGACAACGATGTCACTGTGTTTGGCTTTCTTGTTGCACTAAAGAGTCCAATGAGACACAATCAGTATGGTTCTAGGGATTCTGATTTAATGCATAGTCCTTGTTTACGGTCCTTACCTGAGGACATTTTCGTGTTTGTCCTTTGAGCCACTTAGAAATGCATCTATATCCAAAGAGGTGCCCACAGCGTAAGGCTGAGAGCCGGTGGTCCCCAGCACTGGTCCACTGCTCCAAACATATTGTGCAAGTTTCCCCTTCTTCATCATCCACAGAAGGCAGAACCTTGGGTTTCTGGGGAGACTGCTGATGAAAGTTGAAATGCATTCAAGTGACAAAGTGCAAAAACAAGTCTCGTGTGCAAACTACCAAATAAACTGCACCAAAACGATATAAATCTAACTGAAAAGCTACAAAGAATATGCAACACCTACTAGACACATGTCGTTTTTATAAAATACAATCTGACAAAATATACATTGTATACTATATATACTATTTACTTATGGGGGATGAGGTGGAACTTTTTTTTTTTTTTTTAATATGCATTGGTGTTTGACCTGCATATCTTTGTGAGGGAGTCAGATCCACTGGAACTTGAGTTACAGACAGTGGTGAGCTGCCATGTGGGTGCTGGGAATTGAACCCCGGGTCCTCTGGAAGAACAGCCAATGCTCTCTTAACTGCTGAGTCATCTTTCCAGCCCCTGGGGTGGAACCTTTGTGGTTTTTTTTTTTTTTTGTTTTTTTTTGGTTTTTCGAGACAGGGTTTCTCTGTGTATCTTTGTGTTTTTCCTGGAACTCACTCTGCAGCCCAGGCTGGCTTCGACCTCACAGAGATCCGCCTGCCTCTGCCTTCCGAGTGCTGGGATTAAAGATGGTGCACCACCGCCTGGCGTGGGGTGGAACCTTATACATACTAAACATGTCTTTTACCATTAAGCTATATCCCATTAATACTGATTTTTTTGCTGTTGTTGAGAAAGGGCCTGAATATTGAACCATACTAGCCTCAAATTCAGATTCTCTCAACTTAGCCTTTTGAGTGCTGGGATTACAAGCACGTACCACCACACCTGACATACCTTTTGTTTTCATTTATTCGTTATTTCATGTGGGGTTAAGAAGACAACTTTTGGGGGTTGGGTCTCTGTCCCCAATGTGAGTCTCAGGGCATGCCTCTACCAGTAGAAGAGCTACCTCTCTGGCCTCCTATTTTTGATCTTACAAAATTCTTTGATTCTCTTTCTTTTCCAATTCAAACAAAGAAACACAGTTACCAGTTCAAAGCAATAGAAAGTGAAGCAAAAACAATCTGGAAACTACCATGATAACCAACAATCACACCAAGTAGTAGGTAGTTTTACTTTTTGGAGACAGAGTCTTGATTTATAGCCTAGACTGGCATTGAATCAAGTGCACTACTAACCCCTCCTGTATGTCCTCTTTTTCTTTGTTGTTACACATGTGCATGTGTGTATATACACACACATATATCTGTATGTATGTATACATAACACACACATAAAATATAAACACAACCTGCTCGGTCACATGATGTCACTTGTATGTGTGTTCTCAGGGCTGAGCGTTCAGTACTGGGTCACCACTGGTGTGCTCCTCCAGAGAAGACCATTTCTCCAGCTCTCAGCATTGTTCAGCTGCCTACAGTTCTCTGTCTAGGGCTGAAGACTCACTCATCAGCTTTCCCTCTTCTACATCAGCCTGTCTAATGGTGCCATCCTTGTTCAAGTCCAGAAGGCTCTTTTTTTTTAATTAATTAATTTATTTATTTACTTATTTATTATCTATACACAGTGTTCTGCTTGCTTGCATGTACCTAAACACCAGAAGAGGGCACCAGATCTCATTACAGATGTTTGTGAGCCACCACGTGGTTGCTGGGAATTGAACTCAGGATCTCTGGAAGAGCAGCTAGTGCTCTTAACCTCTGAGCCACCTCTCCAGCCCCGAAGAAGGTTCTTTCTAAAAAACTTTTTTATTTTTTATTTTTTTATTTTTTGTTTTCTGAGTAACAGCTTTGGCTGTCCTGGAACACTCTGTAGACCAGGTTGTCTTTGAACTCACAGAGATCTACCTGCCTCTGCCTCCCGAATATCAAGGAGGTTCTTTATACATGCAAAATTAAACTGATCATCAACTTCTATAGCCATTCCAGTCAAAGGTAAATATGAGAAAACGACATAAAAATCTTAACAAAATATACACACTGATCAATAAGCAATCATTTATAGTTACTAAATGCAACTAAAGAAACTTTTTTATTTACTACACAGGCATAAATCGCTACCTGATGATACCAATCACTACTGTGGATATATGTTTATTATCTCAGCATTTGGGAGCCCAAGACAGGAGCATTGCTACAAATTCAAAGACCACCCTAAGCTACTTAGTAAGCCAACCAGGAGTATTGAGTGAGACCTTGTCTCAATGAGAAAAGAAAATCAGACATGCTTACATACTGTTGCTGTGGGTATTAGGTTGCATAAATTTTCAAATGCAAGTTTCATCTATCAAAATTAAAACATACTTTCCTTTGATATAGCAATCTCTGCTAGAAATATATCTCATGAATATAATCACAACTATCTGTTAACTGTCCAAGGATGTTCTTGACTTATATCAGAAAAACTTTAAAAGGAGGGAAAAAAGAGCAATAGTGTGCATAACAGGGAGTTGACTAAAATGTATCCAATGATGAGAAACATACAAACACTAAAACAAGGCCTGCTTGGGCTACATAGCAAGACTGTCCTAAAACAAACAAACACACTAAACAGTGCAAGGCCTGGTGGTGCATGCCTTTAATGTCAGCACGTGGGAGGTGGAGGCAGGAGGATTTCTATGAATTTGAGGTCAGCCTGGTCTATACAATGAGATCCAGGCAAAGCCAGGATTACATAGTGAGAACTCTATGAGTTTGAGGCCAGCCTGGTTTACAGAGCGAGTTCCAGGACAGGCTCCAAAATGACACAGAGAAACCCAGTCTCGAAAAACAGAACAAAACAAAAAAAGCAGTCACAGCCAGGTGGTAGTGCACACCTTTAATCTCAGCACTTGGGAGGCAGATCTCTGAGAGGCCAGCCTGGTCTACATATCAAGTTCCAGGACAGCCAGGGCTACACAGAGAAACCTTGTCTCAGGAAGAAGAAGAAAAAAAAAGAAGCAAAGAAGTAATCACACAATGAATAACTGAAATAGAAATCACATCTGGAATTCTCATCCACAAAGCCTGCAAAGTTTTCCAACTTAACCTGTAGGCTCATTTAAAATGAAAATCTTGCCGGGCGGTGGTGGCGCACGCCTTTAATCCCAGCACTCGGGAGGCAGAGCCAGGCGGATCTCTGTGAGTTCGAGGCCAGCCTGGGCTACCAAGAGAGTCCCAGGAAAGGCGCAAAGCTACACAGAGAAACCCTGTCTCGAAAAACCAAAAAAAAAAAAAGAAAATCTTAACTTTCATTTAAAAGGGTGTTCAAACTGGATGTGGTGGCATATGCTTGAAACCCTAGCACTTAGTAGGCCAAGGATGGAGGATCCTATGTTAAAAGCCAGACTAACTTCAGGTAAGATCTTATATCAAGACAAAAGAATGTGGGGAAAAAGGAAGAAGAAAATTCATGTTACCGCTTCAGGAACTGCATCACCTCCTGTGACAGATGTAGCTTCTTGCTCTGTTGAGATAACTCCTTGTTCTGCCAAGTTGTATCCAGAAATGGTAGCATAGACAATATATGAAAGACAGAAGTTAGGTAAGAGACGCTAACAAGGAAGCCTCACTGCAGCCGTCCATCTGAATTTGTAGTATTCTTGCAAAAGAATGTCAATTCTACCATATAGCATCAGTGACTTATTATTATTTACTTATTTTGGACATTCCGTTAGTAGACAAAATAGTATTACCCACAAATATCCAATTTAAAAAGCAAATCAGTGGCTAGAGAGATGGCGCAGTGGGTTACAGCACTGGTTATTTTTGCAGGAGACCCAGGTTTAGTTCCCAGCATCCACATGATAGCTCACAGCCATCCTAACTTCAGTTCCAGAGAACCCGATACCCTCTTGGGCAGTAGGCATATATGCAGGCAATACATTTATACAAATAAAAATTATCTAAAAAATATAAAAAAACTCACAAAATTCTTAAGCCCTATTACATTGTTTTGTGTATGTTTGAATACCAGACAAAACTTAAAGTGTCAATACACTCGTAAAATACTTTACAATACTACTAAAAACTTTTTCATATAAACACTGTATCATTAATATACCTTGACTAATTAATAGTAATTCCTTAATACCATCTAATAATAATAATCTAGTTTACATTAAAAATTCCTCAATAGTTTTAAAGTTGCTCTTTACAGTTGATTAGTTCTCATTCTTTTCTTTATATATATATATATATATTTCAATATATATATATATATATATTTGTTTGTTTTTCGAGACAGGGTTTCTCTGTGTAGCTCTGGCTGTCCTGGAACTTGCTCTGTAGACCAGGCTGGCCTTGAACTCACAGAGATCTGCCTGCTTCTGCCTCCCAAGTGCCGAGATTAAAGGGGTGCCTCATCACCACAGTTGAAAAAAACATTTTTTCTAATCTTGGACACAAAATTATTCCTACCAACAATTCCAAAGGACAATGAGGAACATGCAGTAAAAATAACTATACATGCTACAAATAAGACATCATGGCTGGGCAGTGGTGGTGCACGCCTTAAATCTCAGCACTCAAGAGGGAGAAGCAAGCAGATCTCTTTGACTCCGAGGCTAGCCTGGACTACAAAGTGAGTTCCAGGACATCCAGAGCTGTCACACAGAGAAACCGTGTCTTCAAAGACCAAAAGACCATAAACAGGGTCTGGAGATATGGCTAAACAGTTAAGAGCACTTGCTGATCTTGCAGAGGACCAGGGTTCAGTTCCCAGCAGCCATATGGTGGCTCACAACCATTGATATAACTTAAGTTTCAGAGAATCCAATGCACTGTTCTGATCACCTTGGGCACAGGTATGTACATGGTACACATACATATGTGCAAACAAAACATTCATAAACATAAAATAAATTTTAAAAATATCTAAAAAAATTTTTAAGGGAAAAGGTATTGAAAGAATACAATCTGGGTATTAGTGGGTTTTAAATGTAAGCAGGATATCTATTTTAGGGGTCTCTGTTCACCAACTGCTAAATAAAATTCAATTTATACAAAATATAATATACTAAGAAATGAAAGGCAAAACTCAAGACTGCCGAATTTATCATTATATAACCCAAGCTGACCTTGCATTCACATCGTCCTACTGCATCCTCCTAGCCACATCCACCTTGGCAATACTTTTGGGACTGTCCACGACCCTGACCATGGTCCAGATATATTAGCCAAAATAATTAAACGTCTGTGCAAGCTAAAACATAAAACTAAAACAACTAGAGGATGCATACATCAATAACTGTCATGTTGTGTCTGGAAAATATTGCTAAATTCTGGAAAAAAACAGATGTTACAAGGTTACTCACTCCAATTCCCTCTAACACTAATGTAATTGTGGTTTTATCCTTTTTTTTTTTTTTTTTTCTTGTTTTGGTTTTCCGAGACAGGGTTTCTCTGTGTAGCTTTGCGCCTTTCCTGGAACTCACTCTGTAGCCCAGGTTGGCCTCGAACTTACAGAGATCCGCCTGGCTCTGCCTCCCGAGTGCTGGGATTAAAGGCGTGCACCACTACCACCCAGCTTGTGGTTTTATCTTTAAAAATGATGTACCCCTGAACTTTGGCATGAAGAGACATTTTGGAGGTGTCAGCCTACTCTTGGTCTAGCCATTATTAAAAGGATCTAATAACTGGCTTAGCATGGCTGTCAGTAACTATCTCAGGTAGATCATTTAAGTATAAAAAAGTGAAAAGGAATGTAAAGTGTCATTACAAAGGGACTAATTTGTTGGAACACAAATCACAGAAAATTATGAGACAGATCGAAGTCTTTTAATGCCACCACAGCCAGTGAAAGCTATCTATGCTATGTGGATTTATTTTGGGAATACAAATCTGAATAAAATACAGACCTGGAACGTTAGCTTCAGGTTGTTCTGTGTGGACAACAACCTCTTCATTCTCTGCAACGCTGTCACTGTCAGACTCAGTACTTGATGTCACATTCCTAGTCTCTGAATCAGGAGCAGTGGCTGGTATGTAGGGCTGAGACCTGCTTACCTGAAAGTAGGCATACACTGGTGTTCTCAACCTGTATGTACATAGACAAAAGAATTATAGTACAACGCACCATCATTGCAAGAATAATCTCTGATGATGTGAAGACAATTCCTAGTTATCAATCTATTTCAAGGCCATGAAATGCTTCCGTTGAAAGCTGAGTGGAAAAATAACATATTATAGGGCTAGAGAGACAGCTCAGCAGGTAACAAACAGCACTTGTTGCTCTTACAAAGGACCTGGGTTTGTTTCCTAGCCCCCACACGCCAGCTTACAACTATCTGTAACTCCACTTTTAGGAGATCTGATGCCTCTCCTGACTTTGATGGGCACCAGGCGTGCACACACACACACACACACACACACACACATGCTCACAGGCAAATAATCAAATATTTGAAAATAAATCTAACTGGGCTGGAAAGATAGCTCAGTGGTTAAGAGTCTTCCAGAGAACCAGGGTTCAGTTCCCTGCACCCACGTGGAGGCTCACAACCATCTATAACTCCAGTTATAGGGGATTCAACGCCTCTAGTCTCCTTGAGTACCTGGACTCTCATGCATATACCTACACACAAGACCCCCACAGACACATAATTTAAAATAATAAAAATAAATTCTTTTTTTTTTTTTTAAAGATTTATTTATTTAGTATACAGTATGTATGACTGCAGGTCAGAAGAGGGCACCAGATCTCATTATAGATGGTTGTGAGCCACCATGTGGTTGCTGGGAATTGAATTCAGGACCTCTGGAAGAGCAGTCAGTGCTCTTAACCTCTGAGCCATCTCTCTAGCCCTAAAAATAAATTCTTAAAAATAAAACTTTAAAAAGAAAATAGATTAGGCAAATACTGGTTAAATATACTTTAATCATGGGGTCTTTTAGGAAACCAACCACCAAGCAGATCACATAATGAGGATTCTCTCCAAACAGACCTTGTATTCTGACAGCACTGAGATCCCCATGGTGGCTGTCAGTCTATTTTCAAGGCTACCATGGGTCTGGACAAAGGGATGAGAACAGGGAACACTACAAAATGGACCAAGATTCACTTGTTTTGTGACTAGTGATTCACTAGTCACTCCCTAGATTACTACAGACATTTGGTTAATTCTCAGTTATAAAAACTTGATTCATATCTTACTAGCACCTTACTACTCTAAGGAGAAAATTTTCTAGAGTCCTTATTCTGCTATTTTTTGGTAAAGTGCCTAGTAAGCACAAGGTCCAGAGTTCCTGGGCTGGATCTCTAGCTCCAATCCTAAAGAATTTCCTAAGAACACTTTGTTTGTGCCCTCCCCACGCCATTTTTAAACAGGGTCTCACTATGTAGCCTCAATAGGCTATCCTTGAACTCACAGAGGTCTACCTGTCTCTGCCTCCCCAAGTGCAGGGATTAAAGGTATGCATCACCACTACCTGGCTTTGTTTGAGGATAAGGTATCCTGACTATGGAACTAAAAAGTGTTGGGATTAAAGGCATGTACCACACATAGTTGGCCTCTTACGATTTTTTTTTTACATTGATGGCACTTTGCCTGCATGTATGTCTGTGAACCACCTACAAGTAGTACAAAGGCCAGAAGAGGGACTACAGATCCTTTGGTACTGAGGCTACAGATGGTTGTTGGCAGCTAGGTGAATACTAGGAATCAAATCCTGGTCCTCTGGAGAGCAGCCAAGTGCTGAGCCATCTCTTCAACCCACCCTATTCTTGATACATTTAAGTTTTCTTTATCATCTGTAGTTCTAATCTTCCTTAGCTGTGTGATAACAGGTACTCTGATCTATCTCTAGGGTAAAATTCAATTTTACATATTAGAGTTATTCTATTTGATGAATGAATGATGGCTTTGGCAGCTAGAATCAAGCAGAATAGTTTGTAACCTTGGCTTAGGGGTCTGTTGGGAAGATCAGCTCACTATTTAATTTTTTCCCCAAATTAGCCTCTTGGCTAGGTCTAAGGCAGAAACTGCTCATTTTGGCCCGAAGGAGTCTATCAGATGAGTCAATGGCAAACACTACAGCAGGAAATTCATCTAAATTTCAGAAATTCAGAAGCCAGCATGGCGGCAACACTTGTAATTTCAGCACCCAGGAAGTGAAAGCAGGCAGCTGTTCCCAGACCAGCCTGAGCATATAATAAGACATTATCTCATTGGGACCAAAAAAAATTACCAAAACCAACCAACCGAAACACCCTACCCAATGCGTGTGAGATGGCTGAGCAAGCCAATCACTTGAGTTTCACTGGGGACTCATAAGTAGGACAGAACCAACTCCAGCAAATTGTCCTCTACCCTACACATCCGTGCTGTGGCATGAGTATGCTCATATACATACACACAGGTAAGTACATGTAAAAACAAAACAAAAAAAACCCTACTTTCAAACAAAGAAAAATATAGTTGAGAAGTCTGAAGCAACCAGTCTTAGGAAATTCAGTTACATGAATTTAGTGTAGAATTTGCTCAAAATACAGTAACAGAGAAAAATGTTTTAGTATCATATTTATCTTGTTACAGAATGCATGTTCTTTCCAATGAACTGTAGAGCCTTGGACTTTTAGGTTTACTCACTTTGCAGAGCAGTTACATGGCTATCAGTCAAATGGCTTGGCTGACACATCTTTCAACATCTATTCTACAATCCACCTCCCAAAATTAAATTAAAAATTTTTGTTTTTTGAGACAGGGTCTATGAAGACCATGCTAACTTCAAGCTCACAGAGATCTGCTTGCCAAGGGCTGGGATTAAAGGCATGCACCAAAATGCCCAGAATTTAAAAATAAATCAATCTTAAAGGGGGGAGGGGCACACCATAGTTGGGAAGAAGGCTCAGCAGGTAAATCACCTGCCGTTCAAGCATAAGGACCAGAATTCAAATACCCAGAACGTGTAAATGTGGAGAGGGCCACTTGTAATTCATGGAGACAAGAGCTTCCTAGAGCAAGCTAGTTAGCTAAACTAGCCACATGGGAGAATTCTAGGTTCAACTGAGATCCGGCCTCAATACCCATGCACACGAAGGTACACACTCCATACATATTTGAAAACATTTTAATTAAAAAATAAAAGGGGTGGGTGTGGGGACTGGAGCAATGGCTCAGAGGTTAAGAGCACTGACTGCTCTTCTAGGTCATGAATCCAATTCCCAGCAACCACATGGTAGCTTGCAACCATCTATAATAAGATCTGGTGCCCTCTTCTGGCCTGCAGTCATACATGCAGACAGAACACTGTACACAATAAATAAAGAAATAATAATAATAAATAAAAGGGGCCAACCATCAATAAACACTGTTGCTTACAAACTTCCTTCTAGCTTTCAAAGCAAGTCACTGAAACCATCTGCTCAATACTAAAAGAAGTAAACAAGGCAAGTACTAATTTTATCCAATCTATCAGAAGTGGGGATTCTGAAAAGTTAACTTCGGTAGCACTGCGGGTGTGACCAGAACCTGAGTTTCACAATTCATAGAGCGGCATCAATCAGATAACTTATGTTTTACCTGGCACTATGTGGCCTCTGAGACCCTCCAGTTCTTGCCCTCAAAATGGATCCTGCTCTTCTCCTCATTCTCACTGGCCCCACACTGTGGCTGGAAGGTGGGGGTCTCAGCAATTCCAGCATGTTATGAAGTCTCTGCAGCCCACTGATGAAGTTGTTCATTGAAACTGCCGTAGCAGCTCGGACAGTCTGGTTAGCACCAGATCCCTGTCTACGCTCCTCCGAAGTTCCTGGGTTGACAGTCTCCATATTTCCTTCTGAGAGCTGTACTTCCTCTGTCATTTCAATGGATGCTGGTGGCACAGGCTGTGGAGGGGGGAGTCCATCTTGGCTGCTGACTACGTCAGCAGGTGCAGGCTGATCAAGTGCTCCTCCTTGGCTATTGACCACCTCAGCAAGGGTAGGCTGGAGGAGAGGTGCCCCTTGGCTGGGGACTTCAGTTGGAGTCGTCTGTTCTATAGTACCATCTAATGGTACTTGAAGATCACAGTCCATTGCCTCATGAGCCATCACTAGAGATACAGTATTTGCAAAATATATTAGTAAAATAGGTTAAGAAAGTGTTATATAGTTGATACAACCAGTCTTTCAGAATTTCTGTTTAAGATTCCTTTTAGCAAAACAGAGGATTAAAATTTTTTTTTAAAGTTAATGAAGTAAGGAATGCTTTGGCAAACAACTCTGGAGCCTGGAGGATCACCATGAATTCAAGGCCAGCCTGGGCTACAAACCAGACCAAACCAAACTAAACCAAACCAAACCATTTACAACCATTTTCCTATAATCATAGTATGTCCCAAAATATTATAACAGGGAGGCTTAACTATTGTGTCCAAAAGTAATCTCCCAGAAACCCTGCACTCTTGTCTCAACCTACGTATATCAAAACAAACAAAATGCTGTACATAACCAGTAATATTAATCTTTCACAGCACCAAAAGTGACAAAGGATATACAGAAATGCCATTTTTTGGTACACGTGATTCTGGCTGAACTGAACACAGGGCCTTGTATACACTAAGCATACTGCTCTACCACCTAGCTCCACCCACCCATCTACTCCCAGCCGAGCCACTGAAGACATTCTTACAAGACATTTTTACATTTACAATATAAAATTTAAATTTCTTTGAGAAAAACTGAAAGTGAGACTGGGGCCTGAAGCTTGGTACTAGCCTAGTATACACAGGTATTTGGATTAATCCTGGCACATATGCAATTATACCTGAGCGGAGCTTGCTGGCCTTGGTGATATACCTGTAATCCTAGCACCAACAGAGTGAGGGCAGAGGCAGGAGAATGGTGAACTGGGTTAGCCTCAACTACAAAGCAGGTTTCAGAAACCTGAGCTATTTAGCAAAACCTTATTTTAATAAGCAACTTTAATTAACTAAAAAATAAAGTCCAAGACTCATTAGATCTGAGTAATGAATGCACAGAATTTCTTATTCTAATTTTCAGCATGGTTCTATATTTTAAAATGAAATTTCCTCCCATCTCATGCCTAGAGAGCAACCAGCTCTGATTTCAACTGGAAGGTAACAGCAGAGAATTCCACACAGCATTGGCTTCATGGCTGGTGCTGCACCCTCTACTTCTCAAAACACAGGGAAAAAACTCCAAATGATAAACCAAAACTACAACTAAGAACATACCAGGACCCATACATTATTAAAACTCCAGTAGACTTTTATTAAAAAAAAAAAAAAAACCTAGCAATTTTAACTTTTTGATGCAAATATATATATATATATATATATATATATATATATATATATATATATATATTGCTGGACTGGAGAGATGGCTCAGAGGTTAAGAGCACTGGCTGCTCTTCCAGAGGTCCTGAGTTCAATTCCCAGCAACCACATGGTGGCTCACAACCACCTGCAATGAGATCTGGTACACAGGCAGAACACTGTATACATAATAAATTAAAAAAAAAAAAAAAAGGATATGCTTAAAAAAAAATTCTTCACTACTCCTCAAAAACACGTAAACTAACGCTTTTAATGTGGTTCTAGTTATCTTAAAAGGCCCTGCAGCTGCTTAGTGTCAACAGTAATTCCATCCTTAGAGGGGCAGAGACGGGAGGAGTGCCTCAAATTTGAGGGCAGTCTGGGCTCCAGAGGAAGACGTCACAAACAAGCATGCCTGAGTTATAGATGCACTCTAGAGACATTACTTTAGACTTATGTGAACAAAAGGCAGGATCGGATCAATAAAGGCAGAATCCAGGGACACACCACTGTCCACTCTGAACACTACTTCTTACAGGCGGCTATTTAAAGTTTACAATTAAGTTAGTTCCTTAATCTCACTGGTAGAAAGTAAAAAACACCTTTCCCAAATCCTGTGCACGAACCTAGGATTTTTGTCTAAAACAAACCCACGGGCCCGCTGCCTTCTTTATGGTCGGCACGTTACAAAAACGCTAATGTGATGGACACGAAATGTTAGTGGCCCCTCAAAACGTGAACTTCAAATCTGCCATCTTACAAGCAGCTTTGGAACCAGGAGGCGGTTCCAACACACAGGACGTCGGGAGGCCGTGGGGATTCAGTCTGACCTGGGTTCGAATTCAGGCTCCCCCCTTTAGTACTTGGAAAACCTGAAGTTTGTTTCCTAACCTGTCTGTCCAAGCCTGTTCACCTGCAGAAGAGAAAATGAAAATACTTCCCGTCACAGTGACGCTGGCGCGGTGGTGGTTAAAACTTGAGTTCTGTTAAACAGCGAGTGACCAGGGCCAATGAGTAAGGACCTGGGGCTGGAGCAGCACGGGAGGCCCCTGCAGAACTACTCCGCATGGGGCCCGCAACCGGAGCAAGCAGAACCCCGCTTCAGCTCCTTCCAGGGAGCTCGTCGTTTCCGCCTTTCTCGCCCCCGACTCCCCTATTCCTCGAGACCGAAGGAAAAAGGTTCGAGGTCCTTAGCCCGGGCCCAAGGAGACCGCCGAGTTCCCAACCCGCCTTCAGCCTACCTGACTAGGCCCTGCGACCAGGCACGGGCCGCGGGAAGACAATCCGCATCCAGAGGCCCCAGGCCCGAGGAGAAGCCTCACATCAAACGGCAGGGGCCAAGTCGGACGCCCCGACCGACCGCGACTTCTGCAGTCGTTGCCGCGCAAAACTCACCGCGCCCGCGCCAAACAACTCTCCGGGACTCCTCCAGCGCCCCGCTCGAGCCGCGGCTCAGCGAGCTCCTATTGGTCAGCCACCACAGGCGGCGACCAATACCCTCTCTTCTTCTTCCATTGGTCGCCGCTGGCTGAAATAGTGACGCTCTCATTGGCCAGCTCTTGATACTTCCTTGGCGAGAACCTCGTGCGAAGAAACCTCATATAATTGGTAGAAATCCATGTCCGTCATCTCGCGCCCAGCCCTGAAGGGTAGAGCCTGAGAGTTTCCTTCCTTTTTTTTTTTTTAAACCGTTCTGCATTTGAACCTGCGAGCCGGAAGAAGACTGGAGGAAGAGAGTTCGCCATCTATTTTTCTAATGAAAGTGAAAATGTTAAAAGTGACTTCCTCTGCCTCTCTCTAAGGCTTTGTTAAAGAATATGGTAGTTTATCAATGATACCAATATCAAAATATTGTCGCCAGAGTTCTGGAGTCCGTGTATTCTCTTACAGGGTTGAGCCGCTTGTCTTCAATGGTCAAAAAAAGAATTTGCACTTCTTCAACTTGAAACTACTCCAGTAAATTGCCTGGAAGTATAAATCGTCACATACGATTTTTCAAACGTTTCTGAAAGAAGAGCTCTTACAGGTTTTTAAAATCAAAACTACAGGCACAGACTGTACATTGCCACTTTTTTTTTAATTAATTCAGCTGCCAATTTTTAGTGAAATTGATAGTAGAGGATACAATAAATAATAGAAAGATACTTTTCTATATTTTTCTCCTCTAAACTTGTTACCAAGGCCAGTACCAACTTCTATTTATTTATTTATTTATTTATTTATATTTCATGTACATTGATGTTTTGTTTGCATGTATGTCTGTGTGAAGTTGTCAGATTCCCTGGAACTGGAGTTACAGATGGTTGTGAACTACCATGTGGCTGCTGGTAATTGAACCCAGGTCTTCTGGAAGAGCAGCCAGTGCTCTTCTCTGCTGAGCTATCTCTCCAGTCCTGGATTACTTTTCACATTAAAGATTACATGGGCATTGACTGGCAGTGGTGGCACATGCCTTTAATCCCAACACTTGGGAGGCAGAGGCAGGCAGATGTCTGTGAGTTCAAGGCCAGCCTGGTCTACAAAGCAAGTTCTGGGACATTCAGAGCTGTTTCACAGAGAAACCCTGTCTCAAAAAATACATAGATAGATAATAGATAGATAGATACATACATAGATAGATAGATAAATAGATAGATAAATTAGTAAGTGTAGCACAGTGGTATAGCATTTACCTACCATCTGTGAGGCCCTGGGTTCAAGACCCAGTACTTTAATAATAATAAAAATTGAATAATAATAATAATACATTGGTACTACATCACATAGTAAAAGAAACTTAGACAATGTAAAGGGCTGTTCAGTGAAAGGTAAATATTCTAAATGCTCTGATAGGCTATTCAGTCATGATCCACACTTAAAGGCTTTGGGTGAGGAAATGTAATTTTTTTCCAGTTACCCTTTTAAAGCTCACAGTTGGAACAGACTCCTGGAATGAAAGATGAGCTGGAGAAGAACAAAGCATTCCAAGCTTGATAGTGTCCAGCATGTGGGAGAAATCCGTGAAAAGCATCTCAAAGCAGTGGCTTGGCTGCTTGTGGTGCCCGCCCCCCCTGTACTGCCAACACTCAGGAGGCCGTTAAGGAGGAGCTTGAGTTTCAGGCTGGTCTGACTTATAAAACAAGACACTGACTTAAAAATAAAATAAAAAGTAAGCACTGGCTTGGAGTTCTTTTATATACAGCATTGTTAACAAGAGAAAAATGCATCTATGGAGAAATGATGCCACAAAGGAAAGGAATTTGGGACTCTCAAAGGCAGGAGATGATGGAAGAGAAATATATGGGAAGATACTAGTTCAGGGAAGTTGTTTATAAATTGCCATGGGCAGATAATAATCTCAGTAAGAAATTTAAACCCTAGCTGGTTGTGTTAGCTCACACCCATCATCCCAGCATTCAGGAGACAAACTCAGGATCACTGAGTTTGAACAAGCCTGGGCTACATAGTGAGTATCTGTCCTTAAAAACAAGGAACTGGAGAGATTACTTAGTGGTTGTGGTAGTTTGAATGTAATTGGTCCCCATAAGCTCATAGGGAGTGACACTATTAGGAGGTGCGACTTTGTTGGAATAGGATGGATTTGTTTGAGGAAGTGTGTCACTGTGGGGGTGGGTTTTGAGGTCTCGTATGTGCTCAAGCCACGCCCAGTGTCTCAGACAACTTCCTGTTGCCTGCCGATCAAGATGTAGGACTCTCAGCTCCAGTACCATGTCTGCCTGCATGCTGCCCACCATGATGATAATGGACTAGACCTCTGAAACTGTAAGCTACCCCATTAAATGTTTTCCTTTATGAGAGTTGCTATGGTCATGGTGTCTCTTCACAGCAATAGGAACATTAAGTCAGTGGTTAAGACTCCTTGCTGCTGTTCAGTTTGTTTCCCAGCATCCATGTAAGGCGTCTCCTAACCATTCGTAACTCCAGCTCCAGGGGATCTGACACCTCTCCTCTCTGGAGGAACCTGCAGTTTCATGTATGTACCCACATGCAGACATACACACCTCTATACATAAATAAAAATAAAAAAAACAAATCACTTTTAAAACCCCATAAAAACAAGCAAAAGTTGTTTGGCTGGATCTTTTCCTATTAAAGAACAAGACTATGGGCTCATTTATACACAACATGATAGTAATTACTTGTGTGGGTCTGCATGTATACTTTAAAATGCAAAACTTAAGGTTGGGGATATATCTCTATTGGCAGAGTGTTTGCACTTTGGCACAAGGCCATAAGTTCAATACCCAGCACTGCAAGGTATTTTATTTTATTTTATTTTGTTTTGAGACAGAGTTTCTCTATGGAGCCCTGACTGTTTTGGAATATACTCTGTAAACCAGAATGGTTACAAACTCAGAGATCTGTTTGCCTCTGCCTCTCGAGTGTAGGGATTAAAGCCATGCACCACCACCCCAGGCTAGTATTTAAAAATGCAAAACCTCCAAGAATTATCCAGGTAACTTTATAAAAGCTGGCAAAGAAAGTTTCTGGCTGTAGCAGATCTTAGCTTCAGGCTCTGGAGAAAGTCATTCATTTTGCCAACTGAAGACAATGGAAAGGAGCTAATGACAGGTCCAAACTAGAAGAGGAGTTTGTGGGTTTTTTTTTTTTAACGTTTTATAAAATCTTTATTGACAAATAATTCACATAGTATACAATTTGCCTGTTTGCACAATTTGATAGACTTTAGTCCAGCATCCTCATAGGCCCATGACACCATCACCACTTTCTATTTTAGAACATCACTGTCTTCAATTTCATACATGCATATAATGTATGGTGATTAGGGGTTGGGGATTTAGCTCAGTAGTAGAGCGCTTGCCTAGCAAGCACAAAGTCCTGGGTTCAGTCCTCAGCTCCGGGGGGGGGGGGGGTGTTTTGCATTGGATATTGGCTCTGTGGTAGTCTTGCCACATGGGCACAACACTTCATTGAAAGCATTGACCCTTGTGCCTTCAGACGTCAGATGGAAGATTCAAACAAGATGATCAAGTTTGGCCACTCTGCAGTCATAGTAAAATATCCTGTCTTATTAACCTTCAGGTCAGGCCACTCTGCAGTTATAGTATAATATCCTGTCTTATTAACCTTCAGGTCAGGCCACTCTGCAGTCATAGTATAATATCCTGTCTTATTAACCTTCAGGTCAGGCCACTCTGCTGTCATAGTATAATATCCTGTCTTATTTGCTACTTTAGCCTTCAGGTCAGACATCAGCTCAGTTCTGCACTGTAGAGTTGTACAGCATCTGAAAAATGTTCTACCTGGAATTATAATACAAGGATGATTCCATGTAAATGTATCTAATCTTTCTCCTCCTCTTCAAGGCTAAAGACATCAAGATAAAAGCAACTGAAACAACATCCAGTACCACTGAGTGGTACCTAGAACTCTGATTCTCATTTTTTTCCCTGCCCAACACCCCTCTGCTGCTCCTCTTCCTCCTTAAAAAGCCTATCCTCACACTCTAGTCCCCTAAGAATACATTTGTAGGTGAGAGCCTTTCATCTTCTTTGGTTTGCTAGATTTCCAAATAATCCATTTTCCTTGCAACCATAACTTGTTCTCAGGTCTCTGGTCTTTTCTAGTGGCAAGTAAATAAACTTTGGTTCAATATGTGATCACCATTTTTTTTTTGAGATATGGTTTCATGTAGCCCAGGATGACTTCAAACTCAGTATTGATTGAAGATGATTGAACTTTTTTTTTTCAAGATAAGGTTTCTTTGCTGTCATCTGTAGAAGACAGAAGTACAGAACTCTCTCTGTAGACCAGGTAAACTAGGCACTGCTTTGAACTCACAGAGACCCACTTGCCTCTACCTCCCAAGGCTACCACCACCACCCAGTGATGACTGAACTTTTAATCTTTCTGCCTCTACCTACTCCCCACTAAGTGGATTTTTGGGTATCAAACATAGAGCTTTGTACAAGTACTCTTCCAACTGAACAACATCACTGGTCCCTAGATCACAACAATTTGGAGATCTTTGGTGAAAGGATAAACGGCACTGGTTGGTCGGCAGAAGGGTCACGAGCCATGGCTACCAGAGTTAGAATGGGCTTTATTAGAAAGAAGAGGGGATAGGACAGAGAAGCCAGACCTGGTGGAGGGAACAGAGCGGGGGCAGAGAGGAAACACGGGAAGGGGAGGCACAGAGAGAGAGCGTGGGGGTGCACGTACGGCTTTAAGGCTGGGACGCAGTCGCCCGCTGATGACCTAAGGTGACAGACAAGACCCAGAGCTGCGCATGTACAGAATCCTAACATTTGGGACCTGATGTAGAAACTCAGACATGGTCAGAGGTCAGGCCATGGGCATTATCCAAACCACAAGTTTTGTACTTAGTTGAGCAAAGGGAAGAGCTGTGTAGCATTTACTATTACTACTAATATGTAACAAACACCCCAAAACTTAGTGACTTAAGACAGGAATATATTTATTTA